TATATATATATATATATATATATATATATATATATATATTATTTTTTTTTATTTTTTTATTTATCAGCACAAATAAAAAATATATATAATTAAAATATGAAATAACAGGGCCATTGGAGTTGGTTAAACAATACTGAAGCTTTTTAGGGCTACGGTGCTTTTAAATAAAAGCTTTTATTTGCTTCCTGTCTGGCATAGCTGATGAATTGCTTCTTTGTTGGTGAAGTTCTTTGCAGTTCATTATTTTAATTAAGGGTCTATTTGTTTTTACTTTAATTGCAAATGAAAATAAAGCTTTGGCAATATTTTTATTTAAAGAAAAGAAGCTTGATGAAGGGGCAATTTTGACCAAAGCAGCAACAGAGACTGCTTAAACCTTTTGTTACTGACAATTTTTCAGTTTCAGATTGGCGCATGTAATTCATGTGTGTGTTTGTGAAAATAATCACATATCTTTTTAAAAAAAATGCTTTTGGAGAGAAAAATGTACATAGCAATCAAAAAGCACTTTCCCTGTATTAGGAACACAGCATCTTTTCTTGCAGGGAAGCTGAGATAAAGTGACAGTCTTGTAGGAGGTGTTCCCTCCTTTGAGCATCTGTAGAGTTTGTTGGCGGAAAGTGGGCACATCTCACCTCACCTGAACTCTCAGTTCTGGATAATGGGGCCCTGTCTCTTAACGTAACTCATAAAGCTGAGGAAGAGAAGGAATAACTGTCTCTCATCTCTCTGTTGATCAGAGGAAAAAGCAACAACTGAGCGATATCAATCCTTCCATCATAGTTCAGACAAACCAGGACTACTCATTTGTTTAATGAGTGCCTTAGTCCAGTCCGCAAACAATGAGTTTGGCAGTGTGGAAGCTTCCAGTGTTAATATGGCTTTCAAGGCTGACAGGTTTTCAGGAACACTGACGGAGTGTTTTTGCCCCTCAAAATATATAGGATAAATCTAACAACAACAACTCCCATCTCACTTCAGGTCATTCTTGACTTATAGTCGTTCATTTAGTTACGGGGGGGGGGATTTATGGTCATTTTTCACACTTATGACAGTTGCAGCATCCCAGGGTTACATGATCAAAATTCAGACGTTTGACTACTGATTCATTTATAATGGTTGCAATGTCCCGGGGTCATATGATCAACCTTTTGTGACGAGCAAAGTCAATGGGGAAGCTAGATTCACTTAACAACTGTGTTACTAAACAACTGCAGTGATTCACTTAACAACTGTGGCAAGAAAGGTTGTAAAATGGGGCAAAGTTCAGTTAACACCTGTCTTGACAACATCAATTTTGAGCTCAATTGGGGTTGTAAGTCAAGAACTAACAGTATTTGTTGAAATAAAAGCGCTTTTATTTTCTGGTGGCTATGAGGAGGGATGCAAAGAAGCACAGGTCATAAGTCGAGAGCTATCTCTACTTCTTACAATTTGCCTCCTTGGTTTTATTTTGTGGTTTGTTTACGACCATTTGGCACAGGTGCTGTTCAGCATTTTATTTTGGATTTTGAAATCTGTGTCCCTGTTTCTTTTTAAAGATTGAGATCAATTCAGGAAGGTAACGTTATGAGTAACAGAAAGGTTGAGCCACTCAGTGCTCTGCATAGTAGCCATGGATTAGGAAAGAGAGGAGGAACAGAAACTTGGTTTATGACTGACATAAAGTCTAGGACTCATTGCTTCACTAAGTTAAGATAAAGTGATAAAGGAGAATGAAACTTTGCTTTGCAACTGTACCCAGATATTGCTGGGCACAACTTTGCTTGGAAATGAGGGATAGAAATTTGTTTTGACTGACATAGGACCTGGCCAATCTGCATTGTGCACATATAGCTTCTCCTTAATTAAGATTTTTGAAACATCTTGAAGGTAGTTCTGGGGAAAAGGCTGGACCTTTGCCACATTTTGGTCAGTGTGCTTCCACTGAGAGCTTGCCATCCATTAAGTAAGCTGGGGTATTGGAAATCAAATCCCAAAGGGCCACATTATTAAGCAGTTGCCAGCTTCTTGCATTATAATAAGCTCTTTTTGCTGGTTCTGGAAGAGTAAATAAATAGATAGATAGCAGACTGAGCCCCAGTGATGAGGAACAAATGCTCTTGGGGGTGATTAGATTAGCATTTCTAATCTGTGTGTGGTAATTGAAAGCCAGTTAACTCAAAGCACAGCAGGCTTTCAGTTTCAATCCATGAGACGTTGCCCTCAAATAAAGCAGCCACGTGTGGCTAACCATATGGCAGCTACAGGATCCTCTTCACTAGGATTCTTGGGAACGGAAGGATCTTACAAATTTTATCTTTAAAATTCTTTGAAGTAATTATTGTAATCACCAACGCAAAACCTTGTTTAACCAACGGCTCAAAGTGTTATAATAAAGCGCTTTGTAAAATTCCCTAGGGATACATTTCTTTCCACTGACAGGAAAACGTAGAAGTGCTAGTGACTTAGTCCATCACTGCCTTGTCGTAATTTGTGCAGTGCTAAACTATCCCTTTATTGTCAACCCTAAATAGTTCATAGGTGTGAATCTGGATATATCGTATTTTAATGAAGATGTTTTTTGTGTTTAGAAAACAAAGGAATCACTCTCTTCTTTTCTGAATAGCTTCCTTTTAAGTACTTCAGTACAGGTAATCCTTGGTTAATGACCATTCATTCAGCAACCATTTGAAATTACAAAGGCGCTGAATGAGGAGACTTGGCTGGCCCGTAAAGTTGTGGCTGTCACAGTAGTCACATGATCATAATTCAGACGCTCAGCAACCGATTCACAATTACAAGAGTTGCAGTGTCCCACAGTCCCACCATTGTGATTTGTGACCTTCACTGCCAGCTTCCAACATGCAGAGCCAATGAGGAAGCCAACAGGAGGCCACAAATAGCAATCATCTGAAATCACACTTTATAGCCCCAGTAGGCATTGCCATCATAAATGGGTAGAGTCACATGATGTCAAGCTTTATATCCACGGCACTTAGTGATGGAGTTTCCAGTTCCAATTACTAACATCAACTGAGGATTACCTGTAAATCGGTCTTTAAGCCCTTCAGGAAAAGCTGAAATGTGAAAAGGGCTTGAGATAACCTTCAAAATAATACAGTCTGTCCTTCTCTTTCTGCATTTCTACCATCAGAAATAGCAGTGTTCAATCCCTGTTAAATGATACATTCCTTCTTTTAAATGTTGATCATTATGTTAGAGTTAATTAGCATTCCCAGAGCTTCCCTAAATGATAATTACAGCCTAGCAATTGTTTCAGCAAAGAGCAGGGCCTAACCTGATTAGTGCCTCAACAGAGCTGGTGATGGGGCACTGGGTGATCAAGGAATTGCAAAATATCAGGATGAATTTTAGTATGTCCACACTAAAGGGCTTTCCGTCCCTTCTCCCTTTTCATCTAGCTATGCATTTTTAGAAGAAAACAGTCCTTTCAATTTGAAGCCTCTTGGGTTACTCAGACTTTGATTGTTGTTTAAAAAAAAACCCACTCCTTGATCTCAATAAAGCCATTTAAAATTGAAATTAGTTTTCCATGTATCTTTATTTTAATACCTAAAATTAGGACTCTTTTTACTTGTCCAGGGATTAAAGTTATAAATGCAGCTAGAAACGAGATTTTTACCATATTAGGATTGGGACAAATTTTCAAGAGGGCGCTTGATTTCTGCACATTTTTAGTTTTAATTCTTAACTGTTTTTGTTGTTAGTTGTGAAGTTGTGTCCGACCCATTGCATCCTCATGGACAACGGAGTCCATTTAAGCTCACACTGACTGCTTCAGTGACTCTATACAGCCCCCTCATTCTCTGTTGTCCCTTTCTTCTTTTGCCCTCAATTGTTCCCAGCATTAGGCTTTTCTCCAGTGAGTCCTTTCTTCTCATTAGGTGGCCAAAGTATTTGAGTTTCATTTTCAGGATCTGGCCTTCTAAAGAACAGTCAGGATTGATCTCCTCTAGGACTGACCGGTTTGATCGCCTTGCAGTCCAAGTGACTGGTAGGAGTCTTCTCCATCACCATAGTTCAAAGGCCTCAATTCTTTGGTGTTCATCCTTTCTTATGGTCCAACCTTCACAGCTCAAACATTGCAACTGAAAAAAACATAGTCTTGACTAAAGACACTTTGGTTGGCAGGGTGATGCCTCTGCTTTTTAGTATGCTGTCTAGATTTGCCATAGCTTTCCTCCCCAGGAGCAAATGTCTTTTAATTTCTTGGCTGCCATCCCCATCTATGGTGATCTTCAAGCCCTAACTATACTATACTGTTAGTATAGCCAAAAATTATGATGTGTAGTATGTAACTATAGCCTATGTCTAAATAAAAGATAGCAGATAGCTTGGAAGAATTCCTATTTTACCCAATGGAAAGAAAAGCGGCATGCTGAAAATAATTCTCCTGTAGGCTCTTTGGAATGAATTCAGCTACATGTATTCTGCTTTAATAACTCCAGCGATTTAGCAAAAGCATGGTTTCTTTCTCAGAATGGATTATATTTTACAGATCACAATAAATTTACTAATCTCTAAGGTGGCTATAGTCCCTCCATTGCTAGTATATTGTAAGATACTTCATGAAGAAAGCATTGAATCCTAGATCATCTTTCCCCAACTTGAATATCATTTGGATGTATGGGCCTGAATTCTGAGAATTCTTCAGCCCATGTAGTCACACGTGAGAATTCTGGGAAGGGAAGTCCATATAAATAAGAGTGCACTCAAGGTGGGGAATGCTATCTTAGCTCATTACTACTCATTCTTCAGACTGTCTGGTCTAAGATCCAATAAAGAGTAGCAGCCACTCTCTTTCAGATTTTTTTCTGGAATCAAATTGATTATTTAGATGTGTGGATTCTGGATATTTTCAGACTGAATAGCTTGATAATGTGGTAGGCCATGAATTAAATACGTGACAGTGTTTCTAGTGGTTCTGCTGGTCCTCTCAATGACATTTGGTATGATCCATTAAGATACCTTTCTTGAAATGTTGTTATATAATTTGGAGGCATCTTTACCCATTTTTAATTGAGAGAGAAGATCTTGGGAAGTTAGATCCCAGAAAACAATCTTAAAAAAGGCTTTCAACATGCAGTGAAGCTTGTCTGAATAATACGAACAATTACTGATTACCTATGCCAACTATTTTTTTTTTACAGCCCTAACCAGCTTTGAGGTGGTGATACAATATGGGCTAGCTACCCCAGAAGGACTTGCTGTGGACTGGATTGCAGGCAACATCTACTGGGTGGAGAGCAACCTGGACCAAATTGAGGTGGCTAAGCTAGACGGAACAATGAGGAGCACCTTATTGGCTGGGGATATCGAGCACCCTCGTGCCATCGCCCTAGATCCACGATGCGGGTATGACTCTGAATGTAGGGGATGGAGAAATCTGTGGGCAGGAACTGATTTAAAAACACGGTGAAAGGTTGGGTACCACAAATAACTTCCCCATGTGGATTTTGGTAAAATGTGTTAAACTTTTAATTCATTAGCAAACCTCAACCTGCATTTAGCGTTTGCCTGGGAGGAGGCAGTAAGCCAAATGTTCACCAGATATTTGTATCCTTAGGAGGGGGCTGGGTTTATTCTGGGATTTGACCCAAAGGGGCAAAAGCATAGAATGCTGGTAGACTTTAGCATCAAGAATGCCTGGTGTTTTGTTTATAAGCAAACTTCTTTCGGCTACTAGAAAGATGCCCTGGTATTTATTACTTATGTAATATCCTGTAGAATTTTAAAAACAAATAGGTGTTCAGGATCCTTTTAAAGATCCTGTAGAATTTTAAAAACAAATGGGTGTTCAGGATCCTTTTAAAGTGTATGCCTGCACATTCCTCTACTGCAGAAATTGAATTAGATACTTTCTGCAGTGAAATCTTGAGAGAAATTCCAGCTTTCCTAAAAATATTACCAGTGTAGAAGGATACTCTTTATTCCTCTCTAATCCTTTCATAAGAGGTAGATGGGACTGATCATAAGCAGACTATTTAAGAGCACTGCAATATTTTCACATCACTTAAAAAAAATACAAAGGGAATTGTGCCATGTAGCACTGTGTGTACAGACTTTCTGAACTCTGTAGAAACAAAGCATTGCTTTTAAAAGCCTAGTCTTATAGAGTTTGGCTAGATCCCCATTCAACAGCTATGGAGTGTTGCAGAGAGGAATTCATATCAAATCACTGTTTAGTGTCTCAAAGAGGGAATGATTTACAGAGTGAATATTGCAGTGTTAGAGGGTACGTAAACTATATTCCTGTGGCTGAAGAGGCATCTTTTTTTCGTTTGACTCTGTGTGTGTCCACTCCCCCCCCCTCCCCAGGATTCTCTTCTGGACAGACTGGGATGCCAGCCTGCCTCGCATTGAGGCAGCTTCCATGAGTGGCCAAGGCCGACGCGTCATTCACAAGGAAACAGGCTCAGGCGGCTGGCCAAATGGGCTCACAGTGGACTACCTGGAAAAGCGTATACTGTGGATTGATGCCAGGTGCGGAGCAGCCAGACACCAAATATTCAGGGGTTGAGATTCAGGGTAGAAATTAGTCATTTCTGGGTGGTGGGGCCAATCCAGATCCTCTTAAAATGTCCACATCTTTCCTTTTATAAGAATCTAGGTTTGGTATTTTTATTTCCACTGAGTACTGGCACTTCAAAATCTTGCTGCTCTTGCCACTTCTTCTTCCTTCCTTCTTGTATTAGCCTTGGAGATAATTTTACTTACTGAAAGATCACATATTGAATGTAATAAAGCCAGTGTAATATAGACTACCATAGCTGCAATTGGGAATGGTTATCTTTGTCCAAGATATGCTTCCACCCCCCTGAAAACATTGAAAAACTGGAAGCATTTTCTTCCTGCTCTGCTAAAAAGGTTCTCTGTCTATTGGGAGTAATTCTACCTCAGTTGCACTTTGCAGGGCTATTATTTAATTGAAGAGAAAGAGAAGAGAGTCTCCTATTTTGCTGTAATATCCCATTATACTGAGAAGGCTGTAAGAACACAATAACTTTCTCTTTTCTGTCTCTCATAGTAACGATACACATAATTACTATAGTTACTATATTAATGTAATAAAACCTTAGTAAGTGAGACATTATTGGCTAGCATATTAAATGCATTTTTTGCTGTAGATTAGAGACTAATAAACAAATCACTGTGTTTTATAATAAACTTGGCGTGCCTTTAATAGACTCCAGGGCAACATAAAATAGGTATTTGGCTTGCTTTCCTAGAGTGATGTATTTCATGCTGGATTGCTTTCTGAAAAGAAAAGCCTTTGATCACGTTGTTATTTTTCCATTCATCTAAGTATCTTGCTCCCTCCATCCTTCATCTTTCTTTGTTTCTCATGTCTTATTTGCAGCCTGTTTCCTCATCCATATCTTTCATTGTTTATTGATTTGATTTGTCAGACAAAAATTACACACTCGAACAAAGAAAATGAGAAAACGTTCTTGTTGTACCAGTTCTACTTTGCACTCCCATGTTCCCACGCCGCTCTTGAACCCGTCTCTCTTGCTTCCCACCTCTCCTTTTTCCTGCTTCTGGGAATGTTTGTGTTGATTCGCCATCTTCTTTCCCCAGGTCAGATGCGATCTATTCTGCCCTCTATGACGGCACCGGGCACATTGAGGTGCTGCGAGGCCATGAGTATCTGTCACATCCCTTTGCTGTCACCTTGTACGGTGGAGAGGTGTACTGGACTGACTGGCGCACAAATACCTTGGCCAAGGCTAACAAGTGGACAGGCCACAACGTTACGGTCGTGCAGCGAACCAACACACAGCCCTTTGATTTGCAGGTCTACCACCCCTCTCGCCAGCCTGTAGGTGAGCCATGATAAGAGAAAGGGGGCAGTGGGGGAATGACATCAGGTTTCAGTCTGTGAAGTCAACATGGGCACCAGAAGTTTGTCACAATTGCCACAGCTGCCTACTGCTGTCTTCAAGGTAGCTAAGTCTGCCCCCAGAGACTTTGCATCTAATGGATACAGGAAGAAACAGTGACCCCCACTGATGTGTAAATGATGCAGCCGGTGGAAGCTAGTTGGGTAAAACTAGATTGCCTATATCTAAGAGTGGGTGTTTTTTTTCTTGTTAATTGGTGCTGTTCCTTTCTTTTCTTGGTGATGTAGTCCCAACGGTGCTTTCTCCAAAAAGCAGCTGGATTTTCTTGGGTTTTTTTTTTCCCTCTTTGAAAACATTTCGCTTCTCATCCAGAAACGTTTTCAAAGAAAACAACAACAGCAAGAAGGAAGTCCTATTGTCTTTTGAAAAAAAAAAAAAAAAGCACCTGTGGGACAACCATGGCCTGGATGATTGAGAATCTCCACCGACATTTGGAGATGGTAGGAATTTCACAAGAGACTCTTGATAGACAAAGCATGTGCTCTGCCAATGAGCACGGCCTCCCCCAGGCATCTATTTGCCAGTTTTTGGTATTATATCTTTCAGTAAGAAAGAATTAATTATTTGATCATAGAAGCAAAGACTAAACCATTTCTCCTTCTTGTTCCTGAGTCTCCTAATAAAGGCACAGATTCTGGATTTAATTACACTGCTCTGGGACAGTACTATCTTGGATCCATTGCCACGTAGAGCTTATTTTTCAGAAACCAATGTCTATACCCATGTCTTTACCTGCTTGTATCAATCCCTAAAAGACTGCCTTTCCATAGCATGTTTAGTCATAAAAGCAAGACTGGTGTGCTGAAAGAACATCTAAATTATGAGGCGAGGGAGGAGCAGTTTTAAACTAAAATAATTCCTTCTCTAATAAGGAAGAGGCCATTCTCATTCAGGTATGGCATAGTAGATAATGGTCTCTTTATATGGGGGTAAGATGCATATATCATATATTTTGTGCACTTAATCTGGGTTACTTAAAATCCTGGAGATTCTTGTCAGCTAACTTGCCTAAATGGGAAGGGGGGGGGGGAAACAGTGATACTATTATACTTGGCATGGATAGATGGATAGACAGGTAGGTACATACATACATACATACATACATACATACATACATACATACATACTCATTCCAAGGACTTATATACCAACTTATGTTCTGAGGTTGATGGTAAAATAACAGAATTACCTTAAAAAGACAACAAGGAATGAATATACAGTAATTATATCTGTGTATTAAAGCTTCTCTATGGAGTGGTGCGGTGGCCTAGAAGTGGAGCTCTTGTCTCACAAACAGGAGGTTGTGAGTTCGATCCTAGGTAGAGGCAGGTATTTCTCCCTCTGGCCACACTGAGAATTTATCTGCTGAACAAAATTCCGCGTTGGCGACAGAAAGGGTATCCGGCCATTAAAACACTCTGGTAGCTCCATTCAGTTGCCCAGACTCTACCCCGCAAGGGATTATGGGGTCACTAAAAGAAGATGATTAAAGCTTCACTATGTTTTATTATTAAAAATGAGATGGATACACATGAAGATTTTTTACACAATATGAAGTATTTGCACTTAGACACTCTACTTTCCGATGATTTGGAAAGCCTCTGTAGATTGTAGGATTGGCTTTTCCCCTGGTCTTACATTTTCTTTTTTGGCACTTGCACTTTTTAAGGCAGTAGGGTAAGGCTCTCCAAACTTGACAATTTAAAGACTCATGAACCTCAACTCCCACAATTCTTCAGCCAGCCATGAAGTCTTCAAGTCTTACAGTTGTTAAATTTGGAGATGCTTGCTCTAGGGAAAGCAAAAGTACAACCCTACAATGCTGGACAATCCAGAAGTCCAGTGGCCTTTTTCCCTTGGGCTATATATGCCATTGAGGTATGCATTCTGCTTTCTTTAGAACAAAATTGTGAGGAATGTAATCTTATAACCTTTTTGTTCTTCTAGCCCCCAATCCTTGTGAGGCCAATGGAGGAAAAGGCCACTGTTCCCACCTGTGTCTCATCAACTACAATGGCACTTACTCCTGTGCTTGCCCCCACCTGATGAAGCTGGATAAGGACAATGCCACCTGCTATGGTAAAGGGAGTGGATGGGATCCAGAGTAAATCAGGAACTTCTCCTGCAAAGATAGATAATTTGATATTATAATGGTGCTTTATTGCTTCCGGTCCCTGTCTTTCCCATTTATTTTAGCTATTGATACCTCCCAGGCTATGTTTCAGAATGGTTCACAGGTTTCTAGCAAATGAGAGTAAAAAGCACAGGAATGTTTAAATGTATAGCCATGCTTTCATCCTCTTGTATCAGTTTCTAAAAGACTGATTTTCCATAATATGTTTAGTCATAAGCAACACTTGTTGCGTGCTGCAACAAAACATCTAAATCATGAGGCTAGGGAGGAGCAGTTTTAAACTAAAGTAATCCCTTCTCTGATGAATTGTGTAACAGAAACCCCAAAACAAGTTACTTTCCCATCTCTTCAGGCTAAATGTTTATTGATTGATTGATTCAATTTGCTAATTGAGAAAAAAAATTAAACTTGTCCTCAGTCTAAACTTTGGAAATTTTTAACCCCAGATCTATACTGTTAATGAATAACCCAGCGATGGCTAACCTTTTTTGGCTCAGGTGCCATAAGTGGGGGGAGCGCAAGGGGGGTCATGTGGAGGCGTGCCACACCCATAATGCAATGTGCGACCCCCCCAGTGCGGATGCACGTACTACAGATGCTCCCCCCATTTTTTGCATGTTTTTTTCGCCCTCCCCAGGCTCCAGAGGCTTTATAGGAGCATGGGGAGGGCAAAAACAGCCTCCTCCGCCCCCCCGGAAGCCCTCCGGAGGCTTCAGAGATCTTCAGAGCACTCAAAACTACCCTCCGAGCAAACGGAAGTCACTTCTGGTTTGCTCGGAGGGTCATTTTGAGTGCTCCAAAGGCTTCAGGGACCTTCAGGAGGCTTCCCTAAAGCCTCTGGAGCAGTCAAAACGACATTCCGAGCAAACCGGAAGTCCGTTCCTGAATTTCCGGTTTGCCCGTAGGGCCGATTTTTTGCGCACCGGAGGCTTCAGGGAAGATCATGAAGCTTCCGGAGGGCCTCCATGGGGCCTCCGGGGGGTGGAGGGTGGAGGAGGCTCTTTTCAGCCTCCCCAGGCTCCTATAAAGCCTCTGGAGCCTGGGGAGGGCGAAAAATGGCTTTAAAAAAGGGTGAACTCAATTGGCCAGCGCACACATGCATGCTAGCCATCTGACAGGGCAGCGCCTCGCATGCCCTGACAAATGGCTCCGCGTGCCACAGGTTCTCCATCATTGGAATAACCTATTTAAGAATCTTGCAGGTTTTGGAAAGTCTTTATACTGGCAGAGTCCTGATGATAGTGAGTTTCCATCACCTGGTCTTGTCTTTTCTCCCCATCTTCAGAATTTAAGAAGTTCTTGCTTTATGCACGCCAGATGGAAATCCGAGGTGTGGACATTGACAACCCTTACTACAATTATATTAACTCCTTCACTGTGCCTGACATTGACAATGTGACGGTGGTTGACTATGATGCTCTGGAACAACGCATCTATTGGTCAGATGTCCGCACACAAACCATCAAGCGGGCCTTCATCAATGGAACTGGCGTTGAAACGGTTGTTTCTGCAGGTGTGAATTACTTATATTGTCCTCTCTTCCAAAGCTTCCCAACATTTGTGTTGCTTTTTGACTTGGCTATTGTTTAATTAAATTCTAATATTTGATGGAGAGCTTTTTTAAAAGCACTAGAATATTTAACTTTTAATTAAATCTAATGCCAGGGACAAATAACCAGGAGCACTCATTGAGTTCAAAGCAGAGAAAAGTTTATTATCGCTACCTATAAACAAGAATCTGGTCAAATAATGGCCAAAACTAAATTGGCGCTAGATAAGGGTCAAAGGAAAGTCACAAGTGGCTGACTTAGGTCTCTTGTGGGAACGCAAATATTCCAAACTGATGACATGCTTAATCTCACTCTGAGGCTCAGCCTGCAGGTCTGCTACATCTATATTCCTTGCAGTTTCTTATCATTATTCTACATCAGGGATTAGATATTTTTGCAGGGATTCATTGAGGCTGTGTAAATACCAACATAGAGACATCTCACAAAACTCCCATCATTTTTCAGTCTTTGTTTTTGTTTTAAATTAAGGGAATAAATGGGCAATGTGGCCCCCTCTGGCAGCACATCCTAACTTTCTTTGTGCCTTTCTGGATTTCACATTTATGCCTATTTATTTATTTGATTTATATAGCCACCCATATATGACTCTGGGCAGCTTACAGCAGTTAAAGAAATACATTGTCTATTACTTTGCAGATTTACCCAACGCTCATGGCTTGGCTGTGGACTGGGTCTCAAGGAACCTTTTCTGGACCAGCTATGATGCCAATAAAAAACAGATTAATGTTGCCCGTCTAGATGGCTCCTTTAAGAATGCTGTGATTCAGGGATTGGATAAACCTCATTGTTTGGTGGTTCATCCTCTCAAAGGGTAAGTCTGAATCAACCAAGAATGCTGACGAAGTTAAACAATAGGATGGAGTTTCTGAAAAACAGACTGAAACACTTTCACTTTCCTTTTAAATTAATAGCTTTTTAGTATTATTTCTGAATTTATTAACTACATGTTATTTAAACAAGACCCACGAATTGAGTTTTACTGTTGGTCTATTTCACTACAGTTCAATTACAACTAATGGCAGTTTATCTGGGAAATGTTAAAACCTGAAACTAAAGTTACCCGCTTCTTTGTAAATACATCAGAGGAGAGCAGTGTATGTTTCCACAGTGAATGTATAATCTGAATAGGGAATTAAATGGAAAAATTGGAATGGCAATTATGCAATTTCCCTGCTTCTTTCTCAAGATTTTACAGAGACTGGATTTTCTTAACATATTTTTTTCAATTTTAGAAGTAAAGAAAAGTAGAAAAAGTAGGAGAAATAAGGTTTATTTCTACAATACATGTCCTTTTGTAACCCTAGGATCTGCAGAAACATACCCTATTTTTTGGAGTATAAGACGCACTGGAGTATAAGATGCACCAAGATTTTGAAGAGGCAAATTAAAAAGTTTTTGCATTCTGCAGACCTCCCCAAAATGGCCCATTTTTTGCAGAAATGGGCCCTATTTTGTCAAAAAAGAGGGCATGCATAGCCTTTAGGAAGCTTGCAGTGTGCTCTGGGGAGGGGGGGGGGAAGCAAAAAATACCAGCCTGTTTTTTGCAAAAACGGGCCCTTTTTTGTCAAAAAAAAAAAAAAAAAGGGCATGCATAGCCTTTAGGAGGCTTATAGAATGCTCCTGGGGGCTGGGGGATAGACGGTTTGTTTTTTGCTCATTTCTGCCCTCTCCAGCCCCCAGGACCACTCTATAAGCCTCCTAAAGGCAATGCACGGCCATTTTGGTGAAGGGGGCGGGGTTTCAGAAGGCCAAAAATGCTGTATTCAATGTATAAAATGCACCCAGATTTTCAGCCTCTTTTTTGAGGGAAAAAGGTGTGTCTTATACTCCAAAAAATACAGTAATATGACATAGGTCCCATAATTCCAGAGTAAGATAATATAACATTCTTTAGGTGTTTTGGTATAACCTTCAATTTTTTGCTGGAGGGGATCTTTCTTTGGCATGTGTTGAAGTTCTTAAGTATTGCTTGTTCTGATCTATTTTAAGCTCTTCTTGCAAGATACTTAGGACTTGACTATTCTGTTTTGTTCTTTTGTCCTCTTTTTAAAACAAAACTTAGGGTTTGGGAAGTTATTTCTTAAAATTTCTGAATGAATCCAACAGGCATGCCTAAGTGGATTTACTTGATGCCTAAGCCTCATAACCGGCTCTGTTGCATCTGGACATTCTTCCTTCATCTTCAGGCCATCCACAGCCCAATAGGAAGAGGAATATAATTGCATTCAAGAATCTAGCTCCCTTCAGAAATAAAAATGCTGTTTTTTGAATGGTATAAAGAAGCTGTTTTAGAGAGACATGCTTTTCACGACTGAAAATCTGTCTTGAGATGTATCAAGGGCTGGGTATGTGTGAATGTGAACATACCAGCTAGTTTATGACATATTATTAAGCAAGGTAAACTATTTTTCATTTGGCAAGAGGCTGCTCATCAAGGAGATACCTGTGTTGGAAGGATCCTTGGTGCTCTTGCTTGTTTTCTTGTTAACTAGGGAACATCATCAATTGGAGTAAGGAGTAAGGAGTGTTGTTTGCTCTCAGTTTATATTCTGGTAACTTGCCTGTCTCTGTAGGTGGGGGAGGTCTTGGAGATTCTTTGGTTGGGCTGTTTACTGATGGCTCTTTGGCAGTTTCTTGATTGGGTATTGTTTACTTGACTGTTGGTCTGAAGTTAACTTTGGAGTTAATCTATGCTGATCCGGAGTGTTGATTACTGGTGGAGAAGTGTTTGGAGCCTTTTTTCTTTTCTTTTGGGCTGGTTGATTGTCTCTTTTGGGTTTGTCATCTTAAGTAACTTTAAGATGGGTGGATTTTTAACTCCAGAATTCCGGGAGCATGCTGGCTGAAGTTGAGAAACATTCATATAAACCTTTTTTTCCACTTGACAAAATGTTTGGAAGAAAAGGATAGAAATTTTGATTTGCTCTCCGCCACCCAACTTAAGGTATTCTTTTCTTCAGATCAACTCTTGACAGTGTAAAGCAAATGGCAGGGACAATTCCAGGGGATAATCAGCCAATGTGGGGAAGGGTATAGCATTGAATGGCGGTTCCTTTGTTTCATAGGAAACTCTACTGGACAGATGGAGACAGCATCAATGTCGCCAACATGGATGGAAGCAACCGCAGCTTTCTCTTCACAAACCAAAAAGGGCCTGTTGGTATGGAAGTTATTTGCATCGTTTCTGTTGTAGCATCGTTATGTGAAATGACGATAAAATTCATGGAAATGATAGAATTTGTATCGTCTCCATAATGTCAGTGCAGGTGTCTAGCTTATACAATCAGAAATGACAGATTGCTCCTTCTTCCAATTGGTCTATTACTTTTTAAAGCCACCCATGACAACGCTTTAGGTACAACCTACCCTTGCTGTTTACTCTTTTGAGTCCATGCTAAAATAATAAATTTTTTTTTTTAATGTTAGGACTCTCCATTGACTACAAAGAAAACAAGCTATACTGGATAAGCTCTGGCAATGGCACCATCAATAGATGCAACTTCAATGGCAGTGGTTTGGAGGTGTTGGAGACTATGAAGAACCAGCTACGCAAAGCCACAGCATTGGCTATAATGGGTAAGAGACAGTGGACAATGTATGGTGTTTTTTTTTCCATGCTGTGATTTGCATGGAGAGTAGATCTTACATATTTCTCATTTTTGTGGGCTCATTTACGAAGAACCTTTTTGTGGCTTATAGTAGAGATCTCATTTCCTGACATTTTGCTTTTGTTTCAAAACATTGCAGTCTTCTGCATTCAGAAATTACTACATTGTATTCCGAAAGGTATCATATTGAGGCTGTGATTTCCATAATTAAATCTCCATGATAGTTTTCATCATAATACTCAGTTGAAAGCATCTATATCTAAGATGTACTGCGTTAGTATTCATATAACTTATTTGGGGACTATATTCTTTAATCTATTTTACTATTGCTAAAAATGTATTTTATGAAGAGTTAAAAGTATTAAAATAAACTGATGCTACAAAAGTTAAATCCCTTCCTTTTAGTACCTACGCACAACTTAGCATGATTGTTAAAGCTTTTAACAATGCTTTTAATATAATATACCTGTATTTCATAGCTGCATGTGTGGAAGCACATTTTTAATCTTTTTCTTAATTTACATACACAGGGATGACAATAGATTTTCCTGGCTAATACCAGAGCCAGGAAACCACCAAACTAATGCTACAACAATTTGAGGAAACTAATATTTAACTGGTCTACATATACACTAAATGAAACAACTCAAATTTGGATGTGCAATTCCAGGTCCTCAAGATTCTCAGCCATAGCCAGCATAGCCCATGTTTAAATTAAAATAAGTGGTTTGCTGGTTTGAAACAAAATTAATGTAGTTCAGTATTACAAGGTTAAAGTTCTTGGATTCATTGCATTTGATGAAAAAAATCAAATGAAAAGTATCTTAATGCAGAAGCATACCCTTTAAAATTTCAGCGAGTGCTACAGAGTTCAGTTACTCGTTATTTAATGACCATTTCATTCAGCAACCATTCAAAGTTGTAATTGTGCTGAACAAGGGAGACCTACAACTGGTCCTCATACTGTCGCATTGTGTCCATAGTCACATATAATGTAAGCCAGGTGCTTGGCAACCAGCTCACAATTATGAGGTTGCAGCATCCTGCAGTCATATGATTACCATCTCTGACATTTGCTGCTGGTTTCCAACAAACAAAATCAATGGCGAAGCCAGCAGGTGGCAAGATCTTTGACTGTAGGATACTGCAACTGCACGGGGTTTGCCTAACAATAACTAGGAGTGCCAGAGCTGCCACAACATTCAGTGCAGTCACACAACATTTACAGTCACTTTACAACTGTGATGATTAGTTACAAAACATTTGGGCTCAATTACTATTGGTAAGTGAGGATTATTGTGTTAAATATGCCTCCCCATTCAAAGTTATCATAGTGATGAATGAATGCACTTACAATAGGTCCTCATAGTTCCATCCAATGCAGAATCCCATCATCACAAAATCACAATCTGCTCAGGTGGCACCCAGTTTGCAGTTATGATGTTGTCACAAGCACATTGATCATAATTTCCAACATTCTTTCAGCTTCCCAAAGTCAATGGGGAAGCCAGCAGGAAATCAGAAATCACAGTCATGCGAGGTTCTTGCTTGACAATCTGTATTGGCCCCGCTTAATGATGGCAACCAGTACTGCCAGGATTGCCATTGCTAAGCACCCCAGTCATGTGACGTTGCACTGTATGATTTTGTTGTTTAACAACAGCAATTCCAGTCCAGATTGCTGTCTTAAGCCAAACCTGTAACTTTCTTTTGATTAATCAACTTTGTAATCAACTAAAATCTTTCAACTCATCATTTTTCAGTCTTCTGGCCAAGGTTCTTCACCTCATTCTTCTTCCCATCTCAATTTCTTCCCTAAGATCATATTGGTAAAATAGGGACAATATAACCCTTGTTTTTACGGGATTTCTAGAATTGTGAAAAGATTTGCAGTTTCAGTAATAATAACTTACATGGTAAGTTTATCAAGTGGGGAGCCAACTGCATTCTTTTCAATTGTGAGTTCCCTCATGGCATGTGTACGCTTCCCCTTTCTCACTTAGGTGATAAGTTGTGGTGGGCTGACCAGGCCTCTGAAAAAATGGGCACCTGCAACAAGAAAGATGGGTTGGAGGCAGTCGTGTTGCGCAACAGCACCACTCTTGTAATGCACATGAAAATCTATGATGAGATCATCCAACAACAGGGTGAGTGTGGAGGGATCTTGAAGTGCTGATGCTGGGTAGCTCCGCTAGGTACAAGAGGAGAGACTGAAGAAGTAGGTTGCAAGGAAGCATCACGGAGACTCATGAGTTTCCTAGGTCAGGCAGCACAGAAAAAAAATTGTATGAACTTAAATCCACATACTCTGCCTGCCCAATCCTAGGAAGTCTAGTTTTGAATTGTTGGCATTTTGATCATTTAGAACAGTGTTTCCCAAACTTGACAACTTTAAGACTTGTGGACTTCAACTCCCAGAGTTCTCCAGCCAGAAGAGCTAGCTGGAGAATTCTGGGAGTTGAAGTCCACAAGTCTTAAAGTTGCCAAGTTTGGGAACCACTGATTTAGAACAAATGAACCACACTTTTTGAGGGTCATTATACCACTGCCCATGCCCTTGTGGGACGGTGTATAATTTACCTAAAAGTTTGGTTTAAATCTGGTAACATCACCAAAATCTTGCAAAACTCTTGGCAGTCTCAAAGGACTCGTGACTTTTAGCATTTCCATTTGAAACACAAAATGTAGTTGTGGTGGGAGAAGGTGTTAGCCTTTTTTTAAATCAACTAATTGGTTCATTTTGGAGGGAGAGGATGTCATAGGGAGAAACTTCAGAAGTGTTCATGCCTGGAGACATTTACTTGCCAATTCCTTCTTTGATTTTTGTTTGGCTGTAAATTATCATATATGTGATCATCTGGTTACAAAAGAAAATCTGGATTGTGATATTGTGTGATAATTGTGCCCTTTCAACGTGTTATGATTTCAGGTATCAACCCTTGCAGTGTGAACAATGGTGAATGCTCACAGCTCTGCCTTCCTACATCAGACACTACTCGTTCCTGCATGTGCACAGCTGGCTACAGCCTGAAGAGCGAGCAGCAGTCCTGCGAAGGTGAACAATTATAAGGGGCGGTTCTGTCTGAATGTGACCTGCAGATGTTGTTCTCCCTTCCTGGAACTTGGCTAGTTTGCCTGTATGAATCTTGAAGGGCAGCTCCCTCTGCTGCCTGTGGAATTTTCAGTTTTCTCACCGAGGCTTCTAATGAGCTTCCTGTGATGTTATCCATATATCATGAAATGGCAAAGTTGTCCTTAATTGCATATGTTCTTAATGGGAAGTTGCAGTCAGTCCTGGCTTGCTTTACCTTCAAGAAATGTGTTTCTAAATATATCTTCTGTCTTCTTCACACATTCATTTTTCATGTAGACTAGATGAGAGGAAGAAAAACACTGGTGTCACCTAAAATAGATAAAGTGGGATGCAGCCCTAAGATGTGAAGGAGAAAAACTATAGAATTACAGGACCAAAAATGATAGGATACAGTCCTTGACATTCCCTCCCTGCCCCACACGGAATATAGCAATTAATCTTTGAACATCTGAAGAAAGGCATATCCTAGAAGGGATATTCAGAAAGCCCATTTATATATAAGATTAAACTTTCTACTCTCCCTTCTCTGGGATGCACTCTAAAAAGGCTGTGGATGATGGGTCCTAGCCTAATCATGATCTCATAATTTTGGTGGCAGGGAATGTGATATGACACTAGAAAGGAATACCTACAATCATTACTACTATAATATTGTTTGTACAGACCAACATTGATGGCACAAAGTTAATAGTTCAGTTCCTGTTTAGGTATTCCTAGCAGCTGTTTAATGCTTCCTTTCAAAGGGAAAACAGAGTCCAGCTAAAAAATAAAATGTTTCCTCCACATTTCAATCAATATTGACTTTGCTTATCTTTTAAAGTAATAATTGACTGGAGGCAGTTAGGTGAGTTAAAAGTTAATAAGTATGGTTTATTGTTTCCATGTTCTAACTTTCAACAAACTAAAACCTAGTTTCTTTTCACTAATTTTATTTCATTTCTGTTCACATGGATATATTCTATACATCCACATAGATCACAGCTAAAATTCTGGAGTTAAAATGAAGGTTTCTGTCCATTGCATTTTGTAAAAGCAACAAAACCACGCAAAATACTGGGCCAATTGTTTTATGGGGAAGTAGTGGACAGAATAGTACAATTAAGGGGGAAATAGAATACTTAAGTTCTACAAAACTCAGAGCATTAATTTTGCTTCTTAAGAGATTTATTGAAATGTCCCAAAATCTTGGCCCTTACTAATTCCACAGCTTTAAGATAGGATGAAAAATCATAGCATACTCTCCAGATTGAAAATAATTTCTCTACCAGACTCTAGAGGAAAGGAGACCCTGAAAGTCTGAAAAACAAATGCTATATTGAAGAAGCTTGAAACAGTCCTTCATTCCTTGGTCACTTCTTGATTGTAATAAAAATGTGTGTGGGTTGTTTTCTCACAACCCCAGCTGTTGTTAAGGATTGTTGTCATTAGTGAAATAGTGCCTATTTTACTTTTTTTTCCAGCCTATTGGCAGGAACCCATGGAATTATAGAGCAAAACTTGAACAGATCCAAGTTGGGGAAGATTGTTTTAGTCTGGAATTCTCCTGGCAGGCTTTTAGGCCAGCTCTGTGGACTGAAATTCTTTTGAGATTAGATGCTCAGAATAGAACCTGAAACTATTTGCATATAAAGGTTTCCATTCTATACATTCTTCCTTGTGCCTCTTTCTCCTTCTGATAAACTTTTTAACCTTGTGACTGTTTCTTTTTTCCATGTAGGTGTTGGCTCTTTCCTCCTCTACTCGGTACATGAGGGCATCCGCGGCATCCCATTGGATCCCAATGACAAGTCTGATGCACTGGTGCCAGTCTCTGGGACTTCATTGGCTGTCGGCATTGATTTCCATGCTGGTAAGTGGCAAATACCTGCAATGGGTTAGTCCTCTTGGGACTCTTGAGTTGGAAAAGGAAACTGCATTGATGGAAGACACTATAGCTGATGGGGAAATTGGGCTAATTGCAATTCTTAGTCTTGATTTTCTGTGAAGAGATGATGGTTAATTTGATGGGTTGCCAAAACAACAACAACAGAGTATAACTATTGAGGTATCAAAGTAAACAATGTATTCTGTATATATTACATATTACAGAAAAATCCAGCCACAAAACACATGTGAGGAAATCAGAGATCTCCATAATTCATCTCATCTCTGGTTAAAAATGTCTTCAGTAACCAAACAAGTTATTTATATTTAAGAGATAAACCAAAACCGGCACAGTCTTGAAGCCAATCCTAAGTTACAGTTAATGCCATAACCCTGTTTCTTAGTGGAGAAGAAACAGTTGATATGGGCATAAACAGGTCAATATTAACTTAATGCCCTTCCTCCACTAGCCATTTGTTTTTAGCATTCAGCTTTGAGCTTTTGCTTGGAATCTATTCTGAATCACTATCCAGAATCAGTTTGCTGTTACACAGTATATTGCCAAAGTAATGACAAAAACAGATGTGACTAAACTCGCTGATTCGTTCACTTTAATTCCAAGAAGAACACATATTGAACAAAAGAAATTAAGTGCATTTTACTAAAATGGTAAATGTATGCAAAAAAACAAACAAACAACTATTTCGAGAGATTTGTTTCTTGATGAGGACAAAGTCTTAGCCTCGAAACAACTACGGTATATTTATGAAGAACTGTGTATTAAGCAAAAATTAGTTATTAAGTGCGTCATGCTCCAAAGTATTCTTAAAATAATATACATAATACCAATCAATATTGCAGCTAGTTAGATAAATTATCGGTGTACATTGTACCAGAATTTAATGATAGAATTAAACTTTTAACTTCCTCAAGCCTGGGATTGTGCACTTTCCTCAAGATGTTTTGTTTATGGTCTTTGTGGCTAAAGGTGTTAGAGGCCCACTAAAGCTGCTACTCTGCCTTTACTAATTTGAATGTACTGTCAGGTGCTGAAAAGAAATGGGTTTGGGGAACCCAGGAACTGATTTGGGGGATTATCAGGTGACTCAAATAATAGTTGCTCATTGCATAGAATCACACCAAACTTCCTCTTTCAATCTGCCATATGTGTTTTTCTCTCCTTCAGATAATGACACTATCTATTGGGTGGACATGGGTATGAGCACAATCAGTCGAGCCAAACGGGACCAGACCTGGCGAGAGGATGTCGTGACCAACGGCATTGGCCGAGTGGAAGGGATTGCCGTGGACTGGATTGCAGGTGTGGCTGCGAAAATGAGCAACTGAGTGTGGAAAGGAAACCCTCCTTCTCATGAGAATTAAAGGAAGGAGCAATCCATTAAGTCCTAACCTTGTATCTCTTTTCCTCCAGGAAATATCTATTGGACAGACCAGGGCTTTGATGTCATTGAAGTCGCCAGGCTCAATGGTTCATTCCGCTATGTAGTGATTTCACAAGGATTGGATAAGCCACGTGCCATTACGGTACACCCAGAGAAAGGGTAAGATTCCTTTACATTGAGCAAAATTTCTTAGACTGGTCATAATAGAAACAGGTTGGGAGTGTATTTGAGGCATTTGAACGATGATGGATTGGGATTGGGGAAAGGCAAGACTCCCAGTTGTGGGAATAGTCATCACAATGCTTTAAAGGCCATCCAATTGGAAAAGGCTATTCCTAGATCTTGCATGGATATTGGGTTGGCTTTTTGCTTTATTCCTTTTTTTTTTTTTGCTACCATTGAAAATGGCAAACTAGCGACAACTGTGGCTGACACATGATATGTTAACTGTTCTGGTGCTGTCTGTGTCCACTCTTTCAGATACCTTTTTTGGACAGAGTGGGGCCAATACCCTCGCATTGAACGTTCTCGGCTGGATGGAACAGAGCGTGTGGTCCTTATCAATACCAGCATCAGCTGGCCCAATGGGATTTCTGTTGATTATGAAGTAAGGTCCTGAAGCTGTGTTAGACACATTATTAGACACAATGATGCTTGTCTGCCCAACCAAAAATCATAGTTGAGAAATGAACTTTTTTAGCATCTTAGGAATGCCTTTCCCCATTGTACCCTTAGAATAAGAGCAAATAAATAGGATTATGTGCTTTTAATGCAGAAACATAATTCAGTATCGTGGCAAGTTAAAATTCATACATAACAATTCTGAATTATGCAACCAGCAAAATCCGATTTTGTGCAAAGCATTTGTTTGTTGAACAAATTTGTTTGTTGCTGAAGGTGTTATCTAGTTTGGTAATGAAACGTTCAGAAACCAACCTACAATCTCGGAGAACGAACCTTTACCCTCATCCTACAAATGAGATAACAGATATTCACCACTATGGTTAAGCATTTGTTTGTGTTAAGAAAAGGGACGTAGCAATGTCACTTGCTGAGTTGGAGTCCTGCTCAGTTCTCGCTCAACTTCTGATCTTTCACAGCTTTAAACAATCTCCATCCCACAGCAGTTCATATGTCCATTTATTTCCTTGCTGGGATATGATTAAGAGCCTTGGTGGCACAGTGGTTAGAGTGCAGTACTGCAGACTACTGCTGACTGCCGGCTGACTGCAATTTGGGAGTTCAAATCTCACCAAGCTCAAGGTTGACTCAGCCTTCCATCCTTCCGAGATGAGTAAAATGAGGACCCAAAATTGTTGGGGGCAATATGCTGACTCTGTAAAACTGCTTAGAGAAGGCTGTAAATCACTGTGAAGCGGTATATAAGTCTAAGTGCTACTGCTATTTGAGCTGAGAGTAGGGGAAATGATACACGTTGGGAACTGGTTGCCTGCATTTTACATTCACTTTGGTATCCTCGGTTGTGTTACATCATTTGCAAGATGGATTAACATCTGGATCTCTTTTTAGGATGGGAAGCTTTACTGGTGTGATGCCCGGACAGATAAGATTGAACGCATAGACCTAGAGACCGGTGATAAGAGGGAGGTTGTCCTATCCAGTAACAACATGGATATGTTCTCAGTATCTGTCTTTGAAGATTATGTCTACTGGAGTGACAGGTTTGTGTCTCAGTGCTGAGAGTCATGTCTTGAAATGTTTTGCAAGCAACTGCATTTCTTCCATGTTCAGATTGGACAATATTCATTACGGATTTATATTGTTACATCTTTCTCAAACCTCTTCCGTGCAAACCTATTCGGTCTTTTGAAGGGGAAATATGTTGAGTTTTACAGATGTGCATGTGTTTAGATCTTTTAATTAAGGTAACGTATGGATGGATTGGGCATAATATTTGTGTGTAAGATAAGTAATATATCAGAATGCATGCTTGTTTAAGCATGTTTATGAACTGAAGATTTGTGTCACAGTGTTATAAGCAATAGCTTGTGTTTTGCTTTGTAAGAGCTATGCTGGTAGAATATCTCACAGTTGCATGCTTAATGGTGCCTCCTTCCAGGACTCATGCAAATGGATCCATTAAAAGGGGCAGCAAGGACAATGCATCAGAAATTGTGTCTCTGCGCACAGGAATAGGAGTGCAGCTGAAGGACATCAAGGTGTTCAACAGAGCCAGGCAAAAGGGTATGTGAAGAATCCTGCACACACAAGGGATTGAGCGGCAGTATGGACAGTGAAGGTGGAATTTGTAAGCAAAACCTCCAGAGACGTAGAAACAGGTTGTAAACCAACCTAATGCTCTCTAATTTTTCTTGTATCTCTTTTCTATAGGTACCAATGTGTGTGCGCTGAATAACGGCAACTGTCAGCAGTTGTGTCTGTATCGAGGAGGAGGTCAGCGGACCTGTGCTTGTGCCCACGGAATGCTCTCAGAGGACAGTGTAAGCTGCCGTGACTACGATGGATACCTGCTCTATTCAGAACGGACCATTCTCAAAAGTATCCACTTATCCGATGAGAACAATCTCAATGCGCCCATTAAGCCATTTGAAGACAGCGAGCACATGAAAAATGTCATTGCCTTGGCCTTTGATTACCGCTATGGCAGCAAGGGAAGCAACCGCATCTTCTACAGTGACATTCACTTTGGCAACATCCAGCAAATCAATGATGATGGAACTGGGCGAAGGACTATAGTTGAAAGTAAGTTACTTTGGATGTTCCCTCCCACCCTTTTTATTTTCTGGCTGCTTCCACCAAAGCGGCAATCTGATTGGAGGAAAGCTGCAGAAATACAGTAAATGTGTCACTACAAAGAGAAATTCTCAGTACCGCAATTACAGGGGAAGATTATTTTTGTGTGGGTTGCAAGATCTGCAGGATCAGGGAGCCTTGTATTTCCAGTGCTGTGGCGTTGAAGCAGATCACTTTTATTAAAAGCCAAAATTCCAGAATATTAAATGACTATTGTAAGTCTCTGCATTCAGGAGAACATATAAAAGGCTAGCTCACTGGTTGTTCTTTCAGTAGTCAGAATATTTCCTGAAATAGCTGTATTTGAGAACATAGTTGTGCAACTTTTCTTGATTGATGGAATTTCTGTCCAGCTTCTGTTCACTTTGGGCTTCACCAAAATTGGTGCATCCTTCAGATCGGTTCACTAATAGGAGGGAGAAGCTGGTGCAGTTCAGCCGTAGCAAGAGAGTAGGAAGAATGAAGTGGCCTGTATAAGGAACAGCAGATCTCAGATAATTAATGTCCAAAGCAAAGAGATTCGTGTTTTGGAGGTAAGGGAAGAACAGGGAAACAGCAGATGAGGGAAAATCTGGGAGTTGGGCTAGTGGGATATGCAATTTAGGGATACTAGCAGTGATGTAGTTAAGGGGAGGGAAAGAAAGGGCTAAAAAGAACAGAGGTTGGTGGGTCAGTGGAATATTCCACTCTGGCAGCTGTTTAGGAGAAAGGGGAGAGACGTGGCAACCCTCATCAGCTTTGCCTTAGCTTTCTTATAAAATCACCACAGGATCCCTCTCGGTTTTATTGTGGCCTAAACAAATATATTCCCAGTTTTGTCCTTCCTGAAACACTAGCCTATCTAGTACTTCTGGAATGTAGTGTGTTGTTCATGAAGACTCTAGTGTACAGCTGTAAATGGATCACATCATTCCACTGTCAGGGACATTTCATAAGGCAAAACTTGGCCACAGCTTGTTTTGGCTGCATTTGTAACATTATCCTAGCTTATGTGTCTTAATGATTTGTTCAAAATGCAGGAAAAAATAATCCATATATCGAGGTTGAAGTATACAGTACAACACCTGTAATTTGTCTCAGCCATAAAATAAGTTTGTTTTCCTCCTCTGGTGTTTATCACTAACAAAAGGCTGCAGGCTAGTCTGTTGAATTAAAGGTTGCTTTAATTCTGCCCTTTTGACAACTGTTCTGATCTTATTCTCATCTGAATTAAATTACTGGATGATACGCAGATCTTGATACTTTGACCTGAAAGCTGGAGAGATGGTATACACATTCCTTAACTCATTATGTGGATTACCTTCTGATTTCCTACTTAATATGCAAAAATTCCTTTATGCATTCTCTTCTAAAAATGTGTGGTGTCTATCACCATAGAAACCACTGCAACATTTTCAAAAACAATGGAATGTGTGAATAAAATGTGACCACCTTCTACAGCCCCCCCCTCACCCCCACAGGGAACAGCTGTTACCTGGAGGAAGAGCTGAGTGGTGAAGCCTCCTATCTCTTCTGATGTTTTAGTGTGTTAGAAGGGAAGAAAGCATATCTGTACTTTGGGGGGATTTTTGACAGCTGTTATAAATCAGACTCCTCTTTTGCGAGGAAAAGCTTTTTTGCATTCAGACAATACAGATTCCTAACTTCCTGCATTTGAACAGAAAAGAATTCCATTCATATTCATCAAACATGTTTGGGATTTTTTTTTGTTCTGTTGTTCTGTTTGCCTTTCCAAACTCTATGAAGTCAGTGGCTAGAGAAGTTAGGGGGGCCTTTATGAAGTAACTCTCTTCCATATGTAATCAAAGAGGCAAATTAGAATATAATATGCAGAGAAGACTCAACAACCAAGAATTAGTTTCTAGTATGCATCTTTATGTAATTATACATGATTTGAAAATATGATGCTCATGATGATGATATAATTGTTATCTTTAACAAGCTTTCCAAAATCAGTATTAAGAAGGCCCTTCAAAGTCATACAGTATGTGCAAACATTTTAGTTTCCCAGAACTTTTCAAAGGATAAGATAGAGGTGGAAGAGTAAGCTCTTCACCAGTATTTACAACCATAGCAAAGGGCTGAATTGTAAGATGTAATTTTCATAATTAAATTATTGTAAAAATGTTAACATACCTGAACATGAATACTTCCTCCCAATTCCCACTTTCCCTGTTTAATATTTATTAGTTTCTCCTAAAGCTATTAATATATAGCTCTATTAGTAGTTACAACCTTTTAAGTTAACTCTTCTAGTTATGTATCCATGGCATTAATTTCAATCACTTCAGCGCATAACATTTCCTCCATAGTCTATGGGAGAAAGCAGAATCCTGTTTAAATGCTAAATAATGGTACAATATGGCTCAGGTTCTTCTTGAGCTAAAATGTCCGTATGAGGCCAATTCTGTAAAATTGAAGTTTAAAAAAATATTTATTAAGTTCTCACTGTCATGCAGGAGGAGAGCAGATGAGTCAGTGTCCCTTAGCTGAATATCCTTTAGCTGAATATCAGGTGGTTGATAACTTTGCTTCTGCAAGTAAACTACTGTACAACTGATAACTGCAGTGGTCAACAGCCAAGCACCGAAAACCCTTCTTGATACAGATGCATCTATATTTTAATCCGATGTAATTTTATTTTCCCCAAGGTACATCTCTCAAGAGAACAGATGTGTATTTTATGAACTTGTGGTAAATCCTTATGATTGTAGCTAAGATCCCAGTGGAAATTGGGAAGGGAGTAGGGGGAGCCTTTTTCTCTAGGTAGGATAATCTCTGAATTACTTTATGACATTATTCTGGGACAAGACTTTCCCAGTTTGAGGGGGTTCTTGGAAACAGCATCTGCTTTTATTGCTCAAACATGATTCCAGACCCAACTACTTTGGAATGAGCTACCTGATGCCCAGGGAATTCTGAATGAGAATTCTTGGGAAGACTAGGAAGTTCAACACCCAAAACTAAAAAGACGAGAAGACTCTGTATATAAATAGCAAATCGGGGAAAAGAATAGAATCTGAGTGGAATCTCTCTTGAAAATATGGGTGAACCCTAGGCATCTGATTCCCTGAAGAGTCTTTTGCCAGGGAAAAGATGATCACTTAGAACAGTGATGGGGCACCTTTTCGGCACTGAGTGCTGAAAAGGTCGCGTGGAAACAACACGTTTGCATTCATCAGGGCCGTGCTCTGGAAAAGCCGAACGTCTGGGTTCTGGCACGCATATGCACCCGACAATCAGCTGGCCAGCACGCATGCGCACACCTGTTTTCGGCACTGCTGTGCGCCCAAAGGACAGCTGATCATCGTGCATGCATGCACGCCAGAAATCCAAAAGACAAACATGCTGGGTGACATGGCTTCGTGTGCCACTATGGCACAGACCTCACGGACCTAGAAGAATGACATGCTGGAAGAATCTGGTAAACATAGTCCTACATTACAGTGATTTTCTTGGAATGCAGATCACTAATGAGAATCAGTCATACCATATTCTGACACGTATACATATATTTATGTGGCCAGGAATATATGGCAATTCTTCTCAGTTTGTGGCATTTGTGTTGAATGCCAAATGTTGTATTTCCTCAAATGTGTGAAGAAAGCACCATTGGTCCTCCTACCTGTTTAATTGTATCTTCTGTAAAATAGCTGTGGGCATACCAGTCTCCTTAGAAAACGATCATTGGAGTATTAGGATTATTCCTATGTTGTGCAGTTATGCCAGATTCTTCATGAGTTTGCCCTTAGGATGGTTACCAGGTAGATAATAAACCTTGGTGGAACTGTTCTTCAGGGTTGAATCCCTAATAAAATACATACTAAAGCAAAAGATCTCACTAGGCAAACCTCTGCTTTGTTAGGCAAACCTCTGCATTGTACTGAGGGAGAAAGCGTTCAAAATCTGATTTGATTGTGGTTACTAGCCTGAAGGCAATATCGGAAAAGATAAGAAAGAGGCTCAGAAAAATGAATTGAGTGTCTCAGAACAAGAATAAAGAAAGGACGGTTCAGAAGCAGAGTAAATTAAGCAATAAATATCTTTCTGAGTTCAAATTCTAGAAGGAATTCGAAATCAAAACTTCCCTTACCACTCCGAGACTGGCAATCTGCTGGAAGGCTTCAACCAAATGAACGTTTGAGGAATGTGTCAGAGCCTCCTAGTCCTTTTTTCTATGGAAATTCTCAATCTTAAATAACAATCTCATTCTTATTGGTTTATTGGGAAATTCCAAAGGCCCCTATTTTCTTTTGAGTTGCTGTATGCGTGACGTATCAGGTTATCCTTTCAGATGGTATGGGGAACTTGGTAAAATGAGGACTTGTTGGGGGCAATACGTTGACTCTGTAAACTACTTAGAGAGGGCTGTAAAGCACTGTGAAGTGGTATATAAGTCTAAGTGCTTATACTATTTGTAAATGCTTGTTAATACAAGACTTTGCAGAGGTTTTTTTTTGCCATACACATGTTTACAGAAAAATGTTGTCCAGTTGAACAGAAGCAGAGAATGTTAATTTTTCATCTTTTCCAACCTTTTCCTATTTCTGAACATTATAGGGAGGATTTAAAGAATAAAATTGGGCTTCACACAGACTGTCTTGCACATTAATTCATCTGCTGTTTCCCAGAAAACGTTTGTGGCAATATTATTCATAAATTAGTACTCAGGTCAGCCAGTTATGTCAATTCACAGCCAGGGGTATTGCAACAACAAGCATTCAATATACAATATAGTTCAAGTGGAAAAGATAATTTCAGAAGTTCAAGCTTGGGGGAACTTTAGACGAAGAAGCATTTTCCAATTTAATTGAAAACTAGGCAAGAACTGGTATGCATTGTTCTTCCTTTTTTCTTCTGCATACCATAGCTAAAGCTTTTTGACATTAGTAAGAAAAAGAATCAAGCTTAGTAATGGAATAAAATTACATTTTCATTAAATCCTTGTTGCAAGCAAAACTATTTGCACTTACTTTCATTAGAAATAAAAATATAGGTCAATTTTATTTTTAATTATAATTATGAGTCGATTTTTTTAAAATTAAAAGCAAATAAGGGACTATGAGGTATAAAAGTTTCTAAAAGTTAAAAAGATGTGTTGGTGAAAGGTTTGGGAACCCCCTACTTTGTGTGGCATTAAGTGGTTGCTAGGTGCTTTCAATAATTATCTTTGGATAATTCTTTGGGTGTTTTCTTCATCTTCCTGGATACAAGCACAGAGTCACCCAGCTCCCCCCCCAGGCAAGTGGATTACTAAATATGACCACTGCTCACAGATTAGTTCTAAGAGGTTTCTTTGAGGTATCAAAAATTAGAGCCACAGGGACATCGTGTTGTTTCTAGCAGCTCATGCGTGTAACAAAGTTTTGGGAATGTGCTGAGAGAGGCACATTCACATTTCTGTTATTTTTTGTTGATTTCTCCTGTTTTCTTTCATAAGTTTGTCCTGTTTTGCTTCCAGCAAAAGGAAATCCCCCTTCTTTCTTGCGTATGGAGTTGTATGTATAAATTACCGCAATGGTTTTAATGAGATTTAAAACCCTTCTCTGCTCGTGGGCATTTGCTGGCTGCCAGCAAAGGAAATGAAGCTCATACCCAGCATGTCTCATTTGCTTTTACAAACAGTGGCTTAGGGCCTTCGAGGAGATGATAGATTCATTCGGAGATTAACCAATTAGTTTCCTTGTGTTTATTAACTTGAGGGAGGAGGGTTGTGATGCCCAGATATCGGCATTCCTAGATGGGAAACTGCCAAGTGACTTGTCCAAGTGTTGTTTCTCCACCAATAATCAATCGGTCTAGTGCCATGATGGCAAAACTATGGCACGCATGCCACAGGTGGCACGCAGAGTCCTCTCTGTGGGCATGCCAGCCGTTGCCCCAGACTAGCTCCACCATGCATGCATGCTTACCTCCCATCAGCCAGCTGGTTTTCTTGTCTCTACCATGTATGCACAGGGGGGCAGGGCGCATGCGGGGGACGCGCACATACATGTTTGGGGGTGGGCCACATGCACAGGGGGGTGTTCGCAATCCATTTTGGACCCTCGCGCAGTGCCCCCACGCCCTGTTTTGGCTTCCAGGTTGGTGCAGGAGGCCTTCCAGGCCCAAAATGAAGCAAGGGGGGGCACACAGGGGAGGGTCGCACATGCATTGCATAATGGGTGTGGGCATATGACTGCGTTGTCGTGCGCAAGCGTTTTTGGCACACGACGACAAAAAGGTTAGCCATCACCGGTCTAGTGAAAGGAAACATGGAGGATGAATTTATTTCCAGATATGGGTGAACCTCTGTCATCTTTTGCCATTCTGACCTGCTAGGACACTGACTTTCAGCAACAGCTAGATGGCCACAGTTTCCCTATCCATGTTTGTCTGTCTGTCTGTTTGTTTGTTAGATTTGCTTGCCACCCATCTCATTTCAAAGTGATTCAGAGCGGCTGACACCATTAAAAACATTAAAACCATAAAAGATAAACATTTCTAAAACAATCAAAATAGAAACCAGAATCGAAATAAAATTATAGTTCCAAGATGGGGCAACGGGATGCATGAGATGGAAAGGTGGATTGCCTTTTAATTCCTCCATCGCCTCCAGTGTAAGGATCCCCTCTTGAGGCCCACAGCTATCCGGCAGAGCCAGGTCTTCAGGCTTTTGCAGAAAGTCAGAAGGGTGGAAGCCAATCTCACCTCAAGAGGGCAAGATTCCCAAAGGGCAAGCTGGCACATGTGGGATGGGCCAGTCCCAGTGGGGTTGAGACGGTTTTCCAAGTAACCTGGAATGTTCAAATAGAACATTTGCAAGTTGTTGCTTGGAGATGGACCAGTTTCATTCCATTGAATTTTCTGCAACCAGAATCCTTGGTAATTGTTTCAGAATTTCAGAAGCCATGCAGGGCTTTAAAGTAACAACCAACACCTTGAATTGCACTTGAAGCAAACTGGCAGCCAGTGCAGCTTGCAGAGAGTGGTGTAATATGGGCCACCATAAGGGTCCCCAAAACTGTTCCAACTATAATGAAAAGTCATAAGATTTTTGGCCCCTGAATTAGATTTGGGGTGGTGGTGTCAGTCAGTTAATAGGAGCGACTTAGAATAACTTTATTGTCATTTTGAATGTACCCTAATCAGCATACATTAAAATGAAATTTTGTTGCATACAGCTCTCAAAGGCCATTACTACAAAGTCATTTGGCCTTGCATTGAGAAGCAGTGGCCGGCACTGTGGTTTGAAGGGATATGGTACACTTTGGTTAAGGATGCATGGCCAGCTTAGGGTATCTGTGAAATATGGAGAGAGGTACAGATATTGCATGCTGAACTAGCCATCCCCATAAAGCCTTTGACTACAATAAAACAAGGAAAAGGCCTAGCAGTTATACAATCCTTTTCTTGAGGCATTTTTCAATTACCAGAGGTAAAGTGTGTGTGTGGGGGGGATTTTTTCTTGCTTTGATACAAATTAAAGGCAAACACTGAAAAGGCACAAAGAAATGGCAATTTTCAAATTGCACTTTCTTCCAAAAAATTTCAGATAAGATCAATAATTTATTTGTGCTAAAAAAAATCTTGGTAAATCAATAAAAAGCAAGCTGTCAAGTTCTGTTTGTGGCAGCTGATTCAGTAAGTAATTTGGCAGACCAAAAGCCATATTAAAGTGGCCAGAATTTGTTTTGAGGATTGACTAAGCCCCAGATTAATGTCCTATAATCAACCTCTTGATGTATGTTGTGTATAATGTAAAGAACACAATGCATTTCCTTGTAAAATACATACCCAGCATAAGACAGTGAGGTGAACCTTTTTCTTATGGCGTGCCAAAATGAACTTCCAGTTGGGCCTGTTTTTCGCCCTCCCCAGGCTTCAGGAAAGCCTTCAGGGTCATGCATGCATGCACAGAGGGTGGGTCGCGCATGCATGCGCAGATGGGCAAGGAGGATTTAATTGGTGTGGGCATGCATGCACATGCAATAGTGTGTGCACACTTAATTTCCTGAAGCCTAGGGAGGGTGAAAATGGCTTCCCCTGGCCCCCCAGGAGGCAAAAAATCAACTGGCCAGCACGCGCATGTGTGCCGGAGTTGATAACTGGTGTGCCAGCAAATATGGCTTCACATGCCACCTGTAGCACATGTTCCATAGGTTCGCCATCAAGGGCATCAGATGTATATAGAAGATACATATATATTTCTTTATGTGTTTATTAATCAGTGCAGTGGGCTCTCTAAATTGTTAACAAGGAGATAAAACTAGCTAATTTTTTCCACACTTCCCTCCTTCATCCAAAATCTCTGGAATCTGTCCTGTTATAAATTTGGGGTATTCTGTGCTCTACATTTTGAGATGCATTGAAAATTGCTTATCAGGATAGCTTTATTTTCTCTGCTACTTTTGAAGAATGAGGGAAAACAGATATAAATCTAAGATTGGTATTTCAACCCCCACATTTATTTTAGATGAAAGAAGCAGCAACAAATAATCAGAATTCTCTCTCACAGGCATATACCATATTTTTCAGAGTATTCGACGCACCTTAGTTTTTGGGGAGGAAAATAGGAAACAAAATTCCACCTACCAGGTATCATGTGCATGCTTTTTATCTCCTTGTTGGGATAAAAAACAGCTTTAATTCACACCTGATCATTGGAGGGAGCAGCAATGAGAAAAGCAGGCAAAGCATGGGAGATCGCTTCACTCATTAGCGCCTCATTAGGGCTGAAAAAAAGCTTTGAAAACACACCCCAATTTTCAGCCTCTTTTAAGGGGAAAATAGTGCATCTTATACTCTGAAAAATACGGTAATTAGTATGGCATAGGCTTCTCATGATGGGGACAAAACTAAACCAGGTTTTTGAACCACGTAGCAGGGAAATGGGAGATCATTCTTCCTATTTGTTGAAATCAGGGAAGGTAGCTTTCATGGTAGCAGACAATACAGATATAGGTAGTACTCAACTTACAACCACAGTTAAACCCAACATTTACGTCGCTAAGTGAGAAATTTGTTAAATGTGTTTTGCCCCATTTTACGATTTTTCTTGCCACCTTTGTTGAGTGAATCACTGCGGTTGTTCAATTAGTGACATGGATGTTAAGTGAATCTGGTTCCCCCATTGACTTTGCTTGTCAGAAGGTCGCAAAAGGGGTCACATGACTGCAACTGTCATACATGTGAGTCAGTTGTCAAAGCATCCAAATGTAAATCACGTGACTGTGAGGATGTTGCAACATTCATAAGTGTGAAAAATGGACATAAGTCACTTTTTTTTTCAGTGCCACTGTAATTTTGAACGGTCGCTAAATGAACTGTTGTAAGTCAAGGACTACCCGTAGTTCATTTCAAACGTTTTCTGTTTTGTTGGGTCAGTTGTACTGGGGAAAAGTGATGTTGACTGTGAGGCAATAATATCAGGACAAAATAAGAAAGGGGCTCAGAATAACGAGGAGTGGCTCTGAACAAGAATGAAGAAGTAAGAATTGAGACCCGGACATAGTAAATAACAAACACATCCCATTTTCCCTTTAACAGATGTTGGTTCTGTTGAGGGATTGGCTTATCACCGAGGCTGGGACGCCTTATACTGGACAAGCTACACTACTTCTACCATTACCCGGCATACTGTGAACCAGACACGTGTGGGAGCTTTTGAAAGAGAAACTGTGATCACCATGTCTGGAGATGACCATCCTCGAGCCTTCGTGCTGGATGAATGCCAGAAGTAAGTTCCAGTGTCCCGTGGGTGACTGAAAGTCAACCCTTCAGAATCAGTGGGGCTCATTCATACACTCATTCATTTCCTTGCTCATTTGATGATGATTTTTTTTTGTTCTTCATTCTACTTTCCTGTAAAGATTTCACATCAGTGGACAGCCTTAAAATGACCTGAATCTATTAAAACAAGAATAAGCACTTTAACAGCATTGTTAACCAACCACCGTGCTAAATATATTCACAAGTCCTATACCCCTCTTAAAAAAAATAAATTCAGTGCCTGAATTTCCCAAATCAAAGTTGCCACTATAGAGATGTTATCTTTTCTGCTCTACGCTTGTACTATATGGCTAAAGAGCTTCTGAATTAGTCTTGCTTTGATAAGCTTAAGGCATGAAATATGTTTGGATTTAGCAATGAACAGTGTTATCTAAGCAATCCTTCAGCATATGCATTCTTTTCTCTGCGGGTCTCCAAATGAAAGAGAAAATATTTCAATGTTGCTTAGCACAGTACAACTTGGATAAATTGTGGTTACTTTGGATTATGCATTACTGAAAACAAGCCATCTTCAAATTATAACTTACCAGTTTGCTTAGCCAATATAACTTAAGATGAATCTTAGTTTAGGTTTGAATATAATAAACTAATTAGCTAAAATTCAAAGGGAATATTGACATTTTCTCCTTTATAGCTGTGCTAAAAGGGGTATAGGAATGGGATACATTAATTTGAGGCCTGTGTCTGTCACTAAATCATATATCTGAACTAGCCCACTGAATACGTTTCAGGATGTGAACTTTAAAGGCCACCATCATTATTTAAATAATAATAGCAATAGCACTTAGACATACGCATATACTTCTCCATTGTGCTTTGCAGGACTCTCTGAGTGGTTTACAACAGCATATTGGCCCCCAACAATCTGGGTCTTCATTTTATGATCTTAGAAGGATGAGAGGCTGAGTTAACCTTGAGCTGCATCAGGATTGAACTCCTGAACTGTAGGCCGAGTTAGCCTGAAATACAGGATTTTAATCACCATGCCACCAGAGCGCCTTAAAACTGAGTGAATATAACTTAACAGCCGATTCTGCTGTTTAAAATTAAAATAAATATAATCTCCCTTACAAACAGCCTTCATGATCCTATCTGTCATGGTTTGGGATCAGATTCTAAATATTGCTCAGAGGATATGAAGCTGATTATAGCAGTGAAGCCTAGATTAGTTTTGCTGTAGCATCATATATTGCCACAGCCAGATCCTCCTCCTTTAATAAGGATTCAGGGAATATACCATCAACTGGAGATCCAGGAGAAATCACCTCTCTCCATCCAGGGCCTTGGCTTTCCCTCTTTCAACTTACGTAGCACTTTTCCTCTGTAATTTGTTTTCTTCTCTCCTCCAGCCTGATGTTCTGGACCAACTGGAATGAACAACACCCCAGCATCATGCGAGCTACGCTGACAGGTGTCAACCTGATCACCATCATTGACAAAGATATCCGCACACCCAACGGTCTGGCCATTGACCACAAGGCAGAGAAAATCTACTTTTCTGATGCCACCTTGGACAAGATAGAGCGATGTGAATACGATGGCTCCAAACGATACGTATGTTCCATAATTCTATCAACTGTGCTTTTCCCCATCCCTCAGAAAGCCTGTAAAGCAGGCCTCCCTGGTATAATATTCTCTGGATATGTTGGTGCTATAGGTCCCAGAATTCTTGGCCAACATGGTGACTAATAATTCTGGGAATTTATTTCCAGCCTATATGGAAAACGAGAAGAGAATAAAGCCTTAGTGAAAACTTGCCTTTTGACATGTATGTCCATCCTATTTTTCCATTTGATAAAGAGGATACACTGCTAATAGGTTTGTCAGACATAGAATAGAATAGTATGGAATAGAATAGAATTCTTGCCAAGAATTCTTTATTGGCCAAGTGTAATTGGACACATAAGGAATTTGTCTTTGGTGCATATGCTCTCAGTGCAGAGGTGAAATTCATTTTTTTTTACTATCGGTTCTGTGGGCTTGGTGGCCGTGGCAGGAGAAGGATATTGCAAAATCTCCATTCCCACCCTATTCTGGGGCAATCCAGAGGTGGTATTTGCTGGTTCTCAAAACTACTCAAAATTCCCGCTACCAGTTCTCCAGAACCTGTCAGAACCTGCTGAATTTCATCCCTGTCTCAGCGTACATAAAAAAGGCAAGATACATTCATCAAGAATCATAAGGTACAACACTTAATGATAGTCATAGGGTACAATCAAATCATACTAGGAAACAATCAATATAAATCATAAGGATACAAAGTTACAGTCATACAGTCATAAGTGGGAGATGGGTGATAGGAACTATGAAAAGATTAATAGTAATGCAGACTTTGTAAATAGTTTGACAATGTTGAGGGAATTATTTGTTTAGCAGAGTGATGGGGTTCGGGGAAAAACATGATTATGTTTTTAAAAACATGATATATTTCTACAGTTCCTCCTAGGAACCTCATGAATAAAGAATAGGTTTTCAGAGAACTTATGTGGTCAGCTCTAGCACATTCCTGCAAGCTATTTGCTGCTCTTTTTTTAACCTTTTCCGAAGCTGAATTAATGTTTGATATCTCTCGATCAGGTTCTCAAAAAGAGCCAAAGCCTGGGTATTTAATCTCTCGCTCAAATTTATTGTCATAGCAACAGCATGGTGGAGATGAGACTGAGAGGGAAGTCACTGGGCCAAGAGCTTAGAGCTGAGTGGAGGTAGAGCCTTAAGTCTGCAGTGCCACATGTTATCCAGTGCTGTAATTACTGCACCATGCTGATTATGTGAAGATTACAAGCATCTTCCTTTTAGATCTGTCCGGTGGATGCTCCATAACAACATCTCAAGAAGAAGTTGCAGTTAAATTCATTGCAATTACTTCTGGAAAGCAGCAGGTTCCTTTGTTATTTATGGAATGCTGAGGAAGGGGGGGGGGGAAAGGGAAGATTAAGAGAAAATGCTTGGCAAGAAACCATTGTCCATTAATGCATAGAAGCAAAGTGCTTAATACTAGTATGATGATCATATCTGGCTATTGACAACTTTCTTCTTCCCTGTGATAATATCCAACAGGTGATCTTGAAGGCAGAGCCAGTGCACCCCTTCGGCTTGGCTGTCTATGGTGACAATATCTTCTGGACAGACTGGGTGCGTCGTGCTGTGCAGCGTGCCAACAAATATATGGGCTCTGGCATGAAACACCTACGCATTGATATCCCCCAGCAACCTATGGGCATCATTGCTGTGGCCAATGACACCAACAGCTGTAAGAAGAACCACTTATCCTTTGAGGGGAGAGGGATGACAGTCTGCCATGTGGAAGGGCTGGGCGTTCCTCATAAGGTTTCATACTACACTTCTCACAACATCCTTACTGTTGTTTGAATCGGCATTGCAGCAATGAATTCAGAAGCAGCCCTTCCTCTCTTTTTTTTTGCTGGCCCTGAGGAGAGAACTCTTAGGTCTTTCTGAATGTTCCTGTGCAGCTTATTTTATTATCCATTCGCACTATATTAGCAGTGATAATCTTGCTCTTTTTTGGGGGGAGGAAATACTTCACTTGGTATTTTGGCTTATTTTCATTTTTGAGTGTTTCCCAAACATTGCTTACCTTTGGCCTCACACAGCATGATACATGGTTTGAACTGTTTTACCCAAATGTCTATCTTGCACAACACTTTGTCTCTAAAGTCAGCCCTCATAAAACAAGCAAACCACATTTTCCCCTTACTATTTTCCTTTCAGCCTTTTCCCTTGCTCCTTTCTATCAATAGCTGGTAATTGTTTCTCAGCTTGAAAACTCCAATCTGAGCATTGAGAAATCGCAGACATTGTTAAATGTTTCTATACTACTTGCTGCATTGTAGACAGATTTAAAAAAAATAGGTTGATTTTTGTTGTGTAAAAAAAAACCGCTACCATGCCTAGATGGTAAGATCAGTGTAGGGTAATACATCCCTGAAACAACTTGTTGTTCTATTGCTTTTTCATATTCTGCAGTATCCGGTAAATTACATCATTTCTGGCACTGGTTGTGGCTCTGTAAGAGTTTACGTTTCTGACCTAGATAGATCATTCATCAGTGGTGCATATCGTGGATAGTTGAGGCTCAGCTTGATCACAAACCCCACTAAAGCTTGGGGCTTTATCCTTGTAGGGTTTTCACATCCAGAAGACCCAGAGTGAGATAAGTGGAAAGAAGTATGATTAGCTTTCAGTCTTTCCCAGGGGAAAAAAAATTTTTGACTCAGTTTTGAAAATGGATTGTGTGGTTCAGATATTTGTTGATGTGGTTCTCAAACAATAATACCTGAAAACTCCATTAAATGCCTAGTCAACCAACCTTTTATCATCACTTTTAGACAGTTTCAATCTATATCTCCAACCCCATTTTTTTATGGCCTTTGTTCTCCTTACTCTGGTTTTCTTCTACTTAGGTGAGCTATCTCTGTGCAGAATAAACAATGGTGGTTGCCAGGATCTGTGCCTCCTTTCAGCCAATGGAGAAGTCACATGCTCTTGCCGGGGAGGCAGAACTCTTCAGGAGGACCTTACCTGCAGAGGTAAGTATCCACACTGGGTAATGAAACATGAATGGAATAAAAGCATGTGAATTTGGATGGTGGTTCCTCTGAAATATAGTGAGTAGGCACAGAAAGAAGAGATCTACTCATCCAGGGTTTGAACTTCCAAGCCTCTTTGAGTCTGAGGACAACGGGGGAAATTTCATAAACCACATTTTGTCCTAAAGCACTTGTACCATGCAACAATTATCCCAGAATGAGTAGAGGGCAGCGCTGTGAGTATTCTAGGGAGCCAAGGAGATGGATGTGTGATTTTAATAAATTCAGTAGAGATTCTGATTCCAGGAAGCAGTTTAACATGGCATGCACAGTACAATGCATAGAGAAAAGAGCCATCAGATTTCTGGAAAGAAAGTTCTTGCTAATTTCCTATGATGAGTGTGACATGCATAGAGGAATAGGGTGCATGTAGTTAGCTGAAGTGTCCAGGGTTTCTGCACTGATATTTTACCACTCTTTTATTGCCCAGAAGTTTAGCCATTGATCTTACTACACTTTCTTACAAGAGCATTTTCACTTGGTGCAGCCATCTTAACCTCTGCTCTTTCCAGATGTTCAGTCTAAAACTTATCTTCTGAATGGGATTTCGGGGTACATTTCAGTGAAACGGGAGTTGAGAGATGGGTGTGTTTTCACAAATGCGTGTTGTTCTCCCTTCCTCAGCTTCCAACTCCACCTGTAATGTACATAATGAGTTTGAATGTGGAAATGGTGACTGCATTGACTTCAGTGAAACCTGCGATCGTGTGGCCCACTGCAAAGACAGATCAGATGAAAAGCCATCCTACTGCAGTAAGATTTTTCTCTCTCTCATTCTTCTTTTCTCCTTCCGTCAGCTACTCTGCTGGTGGAAAAGTTTTAATACTCTAGGTTTCAAACTCAACACGCCATATTGCCATCATGTGATGTTTCATGATGTTTTTCCCATTCACGGAACTGGGGTGGGCTTGGCCTGTGCGTGATGCATCCGGCCCATGGGCCACCAGTTTGACACCTGTTCTAGACCAATGTTTCAAAACCATTGCAACTTTAAGACCTGCAAACTTCAACTCTGAGGAATTCTCTCTACCAGCTTTTCTGCTCCAGGCAAACTAATTCTGTATTTCTGGGCATATCTTGGAGAAGAATTTATCCATTGCTTGACAGGTTATCAGGAAGATTGTTGGAATATTTCTTCTCTTGAAGCTTAAAAAGACAGGTGGGATTCTACAGGTTCAGAACGGTTTGGGCGAACCGGTAGCTCCGGCCATCAGCTGGGAGCTAATCGGTTCACTCTGATGATGAAGTGGGCCCTCCCGCCCACCCCTGCGCTTAGCTTACCTATATCTTCTCAGCTGAGTTACGCGGCAGAACGGATTGCTGAGCCTCAGCTGTTTTCCTCCCCCGAAGTAATACAAAATGTACTTTTTCTCAATGCGTGCGATCACTGAACTGATTGTTAAACCGGTAGGATCCCACCACTGTAAAAAGAGTATTTTTCTGTTTCACTTTTACGTTTGTAATTTGGGTGTTTATAGAAATAAGGTTTGATACATTTCTCACATATCTTTGCATGGAAGCCAAAACTGGTGGACAGGATGAACTCACTCAAGGGTTACAAGAGTTGGAATGGAAAAAAAGATGAATCCCTAATCCTTTTCAACGCCTAAGATCTGCTGAAACCTGAGATTTAGCTTGACTTTTTGCCTTTGAGTGGAAAACTTCATCAACATCTGAAGCTCCTAATTGAGAGAGAGGAGTCAGGGGCTTGTTTCTGTGCACCACAGCTATTCTATAGGCAACAGTGTGTGAATATAGGCAGGTCACTATAGCTCCCCTTTCCAGCAAAATGCTCGGTCTCCTGGAATTCCAGAGTAGGAATGCCTATTGCATTTTTTCCCCATCAGATCCAAGCTGAGAGGAGGTAGATGTAACAAATCTGCTGACCTCCTGTTTTATTCACAGGCTTGCTAGTACTTACTTCACTCAGGCAATAATTAAATTACATTTAAATTCCTATTGTATTAAATTACAATACAAGAGCTGCCATGGTGCAAGGGTTAGAGTGCAGTACTGCAGGCTACTTCTGCTGATCATCGGCTGCCTACAGTTTGGCAGATCAAATCTCACCAGGCTCAAGGTTGACTCAGCCTTCCATCCTTCCGAGGTGGGTGAAATGAGGACCCAGATTGTTGGGGGCAATAGGCTGGCTCTGTAAACCGCTTAGAGAGGGATGTAAAGCATTGTGAAGCAGTATACAAGTCTTAAGTGCTATTGCTATTGCTACCTTCCAATCAATTGTCTTTCAGTTACTCACTCCCTGTTCGCTCTGTTGCTTATTTTGCCTTGCAGACAGCCGCAAATGTAAGAAGGGCTACTTGCACTGTGCCAACAAACGGTGTATACCCATCAAGGACTGGTGCAACGGTGTGGATGACTGTGGGGACAATTCAGATGAAGTGCCTTGCAACAGTAAGTTTTAGAAGGGGAAGCCAGTCTGGAAGTATATGCCCTTTCACTTTTTTTTCTAAAGCACTATAATAATACTTAACAACTGTTTTCTGAAACAGTTCAGTAATTAATTTAAACTAAATTATTAAACATGTACAGGAAAAAATTGCTAGCTAGGCCCAATAAAATGCCTCCTGTGTTAAATCTTTATTTACCCTCCTCTTTCTTTCCAATCTGCTTCAACCTAATCATCTTTGGGACCTATTGCAAGGATAAAAAGAGGTGGCATCGGGATGCTGGGTGTAGGAAAAAACATGAATATGACCTGGGCATTTTGGAGCATGGGGGAGTCTTTTTTTTTGTTCTGTCAGACAAATTAACCCTAAAGTCATTGAAGCTCCTAATAAATACTGGACACAGAAAAGTTTCATTTCATTTTTCCAAGTTACCCAGCATTTTCCTCAAGTGACATGAGCTTTGCCTTTGTAAGGTTTTGCTCCCTTTCCCTCCTAAATTCTGCAGCAGACCAGCTTGTCTGTCTGCTGTGCCGGTTGCCTCCAAATGCTAAAGCTCAAACAGCCTCCTCCTGCAACAGCCCCCTCATCCAGTGTTAGAAAACCCTGCTGTTTTATAGACAGTCTGGGAAGTGGCTTAAAGGGAAGAGAGGGAAATAGCCCCAGGGATTTGCCAATGCTCTGACCTTCCTCATGGAGGAAGGGCAGCACGAGAAAATGAAGGCAGTTGCCAGAATGACCCGTAACGACTGGACTGGCCCATTCTTTCCAGAGACAAGCTGTGCTCCTGCTGAATTCCGCTGCCGGGACGGGACATGTATTGGCAATTCCAGCCGCTGCAACCAACAGATTGACTGCGAAGATGCTTCTGACGAAATGAACTGCAGTGAGTGTTGCACATGAAATGTTGGTCGATGTCTTTTTTTTACCAGCCCAGCCATCTTATAAACCTCTGCAGGCTTTGCCCAGCCAATTCACTCACTCAGTACAAATAATCCTCAACTTACAACCACAATGGAGCCCAAGCTTTCTGTTGTTAAGTGGGACAGCGGTTAAGTGAGCTTTGCCCCATTTCACGACCTTTCTTGCCACAGTTGTTAAGTGAATGACCGCAGTTGTTAAGTTAGTGATACGGTTGTTAAGTGAAACTGACTTCCCCATTGACTCTGCTTGTCAAAATGTCGTAAAAGCTGACCATGGCAAGCGTCGGGGCATGGCAAGCGTCATCAATATGAGTCCGTTGCCTGGTGCTTGAATTCTGATCATGTGACCATGGGGATGCTGCAATGGTTGCAAGTGAAAAACGGTCATAAGTCGCTTTTTTCAGTGCCGCTGTAACTTCAAACTGTTGGAATGGTTGTACGCTGAGGATCACTGTGGATAATTCTGGTGGTCTTTGGTCAGTGAAGGCCACTCTTCCTTCAGAAGGAGGGCTTTCGTATTCCAGAGCCCCCATCATAACAATCCCTAATATAGTCCTGGAAGCATAATTCTCGTAGGTGTTTAGCGGTGCATTCTCTGATGTGGAAAAATTGGAAGGAGTGATCTCTGTGAAAACCTTGTGGAAGTCTGGATTTTGAACTCTTCAAGAAAATTCAGTAGTCAAAGTTATTGTTATGACAAGCAGCAAAGGTGCAAGAGATGTCCATTATGCAGCTACGCCAAAAATCTTAGCTCCATAGTTGAACATGACACTAAAATTTTCCATATTTTATACTAGTGAGTCAGAATTGGATTGCTGGGGTATACCAATAAGAGCGGCTAACAGAATTAGGAAAAATAGGTTATTACATCAAGCTGAATGTGTCTAATATGCTGCTGCCATTGTAATTGGGGAACTTTCATTAGCATTGAATCACATGCTTTTCCATTATATAATGAATGACACTATGAAGAGGAAAGATACTTCATCAAGCATCCAAAACACAAGCCCCTCTCTTTGATGAAAGGAAGGGCTTCTGGGAAACAGTATGACCTAAGCTAGCTAGTGGATTATTTTCCCATTTTTCCAACAAATGACTGCTACTATACATGACACACAAGCATGTGGAAGAGATAACACTCTTCTTTCATTGAAATGTGTCTGCCTATCTGATACAGAACAAAAACTGTCCTGGGGTGGGGTCACCCTCCCATTCACCCCACCAACCCCTTCTTCGTTGTAAAATATTCTTTGTTTTTATTTTCAACTAGCTGATAAATCAGTGTTGCCTGGGTATTTATTTATAGGGGGAAAATGTCCAGACCAAACGTAATTTCTAATGTTGGATTTTCCCCCTTACCAGAGGGAACCCCCTTGTGGAGTACTGTGAAGCCGTTACCAAAGCAACTGCACTGTGCTGCACAGTAGAAGTCATTTTACGGCAGTACAGTAGAAGCCATTTTAAAGCACAACAGGCTGTATCTTATCAGAACACACACATACCAATGGGTTTTAGGGGTGTCTTACCCTCACAATATATGTTTCCAGAGACTAAATCATCTGTGTACCAAGTTTGGATGAAATTGCTCGAGGCGTTCCAGAGTTATGCTGGAACACACACAAACACGTTTATATATATATAGTAGCTTGCGCCTGTTCTGATAGGCTGCTTTGTGAAAACTGTACCCTGGAAGACAGGATATAAAATAATTGCAATATGAATGTTATTAAGAGTTATAGATCAAGATGACATTATTCTGCGCTTCCACATTTTTGAACACAACCTGCAATGGCATGATTCGTCGGAGTGCCTTTGCTCCATTAGGCCTGTCCAGTAAGTTTCTCAGAATTTACACATTCGGTTTGTTTCTTCTCTTTTGGTAGCTGCCACTGACTGCAGCAGCTTTTTCAGATTGGGAGTGAAAAATGTCAATTTTCAGAAATGTGAGCATACCTCGATGTGTTACGCTCCATCCTGGGTATGTGATGGCAGCAATGACTGTGGCGACTATTCAGATGAGCAGGATTGTCCAGGTGAGCATCTTCCAGTGAAAACCACCCTTCCAACCATCCAAACGCTGAAGGACCTTGAACTCTGGTGAAATGGAGCAAATATTCAGAGAACTTGTATATGCATGCAGGCTAGCTTGTTTAGCCATTAAGCAAGAGAAGAATCCTTCCTTGGTCACCTTATCTTTCCCACTCCACTATCTTGGGAAAGGGAAGGATGATCTAAAAAGTGAACAGTCAGGAAGAAAGAAACACACACACACAGAGACACACACACTGACACCATTCAGGTCTCACTTGATCTACCCTGCCCATCCGCCCCCCCCCCCGGCAAAAGAAGAACTGCCATTTGAATCTACCTGCACACATACTCCATCTATTAAGTCTGTACTCTATATTCCTTTTGTTCTTAAAAAAGAGGTTTTACAGGGGGTGGGGAGCTTATAGTGAGACCTTTGCCTTACTCTTTAAACTATTCAGACAATTGCTATCTTGGAAGACGGAACACAAGTAATTGTAATTTTTTGGAATCAGTAGAGCACACTGATTGTTTTTATTGCTATAGGGTATTTTTAGCGATGTGTTTATTTTATATGGATTTTTCTGCTACATTTTAGATTGCTTGTAAGTTACTCTAGGGGCTTCTGAATAGAAATGTAGAGGAGTGAGTGTGTTTGTGTGTGTGTGTGTGTGTGTGTGTGTGTCTGTCTTTCTGTGTGTGGTTGCTAGTCTGTCTATAGATTGAATTATACCTTTTAAGAAAAGTTTGGTTGCTAGAAAAATGTAGAATGCCCTTCTCCTTTGCCTGCTCCATCCACCCATTTACCTGATGCAAAGATATGAAAGATACCAATATGAAGCCTCTGATCATTGTGTAATGCTTCTCTTTCTCTGTTCCCACCAACAAAATACAATATAATGCATTTTCTATCCCCCCCCCTCCACCCCGGCCCATTGTCTTTCCTAGGCTCAAGAAAATCTAAGTGCCCAGCTAACTACTTCGCCTGTCCAAGTGGGAGATGCATTCCCATGACCTGGACTTGTGATAAAGAGAATGACTGTGAGAATGGAGAGGATGAAACCCACTGCAGTAAGTCACCGTTGTTTTTCTTTTCCATAAATGAGTTTCTAAAATAGAATAATCAGTAAATTTGGAGGGGAGGGGAATTGAATAATAGTCGTAAGTTCTCTAGTCATTTGTGCCTGAAAAGGTCCAGTTTTTGTTTTCAATTTATTTGCCAGGTATTTTGAAAGCCATGAAAATCTACAGAGTAGTCTGGCTGCCAGCAGCGGCTGTCCTGAAAATAGGATTTGCATCTCACATGGTGTCTGTCGGGACTCTCTGTATAAATGGGGCACTGTATTCTACCCACAGCCTGACTCCTTATATCCTACATTAAACTGTAGATCACACAGCATGACCAGCTGTAAGCTGAGGGCATATACCGATCCAGTATCTGATTTTTTAAATATAAATGATGCTGCGCTTCAGTGGTGTTAGATGGCCAGAAAATTACTTGCACTTTTTATATTGCACTAAATCAGGGGTCCTCAAACTACAGTCCCTGGGCCGGATACGTGCAATGAACGTTTGTGTTGCTGCAGAGAGTCTCTCCCTTCGGGGTCTTTTTGTGTGGGTCAGAGGGGGGCAGAATTTCTGACTTGGGATCTGCTTCAGCCTCCTGGTCTGGGGCTTTGGACGAAGGCTGGAAGAAAGTGCAGCTTGTGGCAAAGAGCCGGAGGGCTTTGTTCCAGTGGGACTGCATCATGGGTTGCAACTGTCTGACTATCTCAGCCAGCTGAGTCTCCAGGCACTGGTACCTGGCCTTGCACTCCTGCAGGTCTTCCCTCTGCTTGGAAAGCCTATGCTCGTAGTTCTCAGTGAGGTGCTCTTGCTGAGCCTCCTTCTCGGTCAGATCCAATTTGAACTGAGCCAGGTGTTTTGCCAACTCTTTCTCATGGTGGTTGCTTAGCTCCAACAACTGCTTCCTGTTGGGACTCTAAGAAGCCCAGGCGGGAAGGCGAGGAGTGGCTGGCAGGGAAGGGGCGAGTAGATGTGATTGACATTGAATTGGCCACACCCAGCCAGTCACATGACCACCTGGCCACACCCACCCGGTCATTAGACAGATCATATTAGTCGCCCGCAGGATTTAAAATTATGAATTTAGTGGTCCCTAAGGTCCGAAAGGTTGGTGACCCCTGGTCTAGACATTGGTATTTGAACATCCATCTTTTTAACATTTATATTTTATTGGCTTCTATTAATCTAGATGAAATTATAATATATATATTGCTAGTCCATATATGATAGGCCATACATTAAATAAATCTGGAAAAAAATGTTTCATTTTTATGGGCTTCTTTGTGAGAAACTCTGGAATTGTTTGGAAGTGCTTATAACAATCCCTGATTTCTTTTTCCAGATAAGTTCTGCTTCCCAGTGAAGTTCGAATGCAATAACCATCGGTGCATCTCTAAACAGTGGGTGTGCGATGGTGCAGATGACTGTGGTGATGGCTCTGATGAAGACCACCGTTGCCGTAAGTGTTATTCCTGATTTGAAAAGGAGGAGAAGGAAAAGTGGTAAAATGGTTAGAACTTAACAAAATACAAGTCAAAATATGAAAAGGAAAATGTGGATGCATCGAAGGGAGTTGGGTGGGATTGGGTGGAAATCTAGTTTCTGGGAGAGCTTGAGTGATTGATGCTAAGAACAAGGTGTTTGTGACATCATGAAAGGAATTAAGTGTTTTATGAGATGAACAATCAGTTGGTATCTGGGAGATGCTCTTAACGTGACAGGATTGAAGGTCTGTAGTGGTGAAGTGGTTAGAATGCAGTATTGCGGGCTAACTCTGCACACAGCCTGGAGCTTGGCTGAGACTTGGCTCAAGATTGACTCTGCCTTCCATCCTTCTGAGGTCAGTAAAATGAGGTCCCAAATTGTTGGGGACAATAGGCTGACTCTTTAAACTGCTTAGAGAGCGATGTAAAGTGCTATGGGACGATATACAAATGTTATTGCTATTGTAGTGGGTGGGGAAATTATTCAAATTATTCAAATTTCTATCAGAAAAAAAAATAGTAATGATGTTGAAAGATGGATTGAACATTTTTTAGTTCAAGTAGTTTATACATGGTGCCAAAGAGCGCAATTCAGTGCAACATTGAAATAATGCCTAATTCATAGCGTGATTTCTGGTGAAATTATTTCTAGTCATGTTTCTAGTGCTTAAAATGTCTTCCCAACAGAAATTAACAGAATACAATACTGTAGAGTTTCATGATACCATCGGCTTCAGCCCGCCCATTATTTTGAATGGGCTCAATATGGTTCAATATGCCATATAACACCATAGCTAGGAGAGTTGCATTGGTTACCCTTCTGTTTCTGAAATGCCATTCAAGGTCCTGGTTTAGTAAAGCCTCATGGCTCAGGGTTTGAGAGTCCCTAGTTTGTTTTAGATTTGGCCTGTTCCTGTTGTGCTCCGCAGGCAGCCAGCAGAGCCAGCAGCAGAGTCAGACAGTGAGGAGGTTGGGGAGGAACATGGGCCTGTCCTGGGGGTTGAGGAAAGCTCAGATGAGGGCTCTGCGTCAGAGGCAGAGAGGGCGTTAGACAGCAGTGAGGCAGAAGAACAGTTGGAGCCTGTTCCCAGTGTGTTCATGCGCAGAGCTGCCAGAAGACAAGAACAACTAAGAAAACAGGGTCGACTTAAAAGTAAAGCCATACATTGGATGTGATTGGCCCCTCCCAGAGGAAACAAAAGAGGAGCTAACGGGGAGTGGGCTTTTGCAGGAAACAATTTGTTCATTCCAAGTTCTGTTTGTGATTATAAGAGACTCTGTGCCAAGTTTTGCTTTGCCCTGTGTTTGGAAACTAGTTATCTGGCAGTGCTCTAAACGAGATAAGGTTCGTGTGGATAAACATTCCTTTGAAAGACTGTTTGCTAAAGCCTTGCTGGCTGTGAATGAAAGGAATTCACAGTCCTGTAAATAAAAGAGGTTTTGTCGTGACTAAGACTTTGCTTCTTGCTTTCCAAGGAAGCCTGGATCAGAACAGCTCCAGCCCAAAGCACATTTCTGCTGAAGCTGCCTGCATATAGTGATGTGTGATAAGGGCTTCCCCTCTTCTGTAACAGCTTGCTTTCTCTCTTCTCCTCCTCCTCCTCCTCCTCCCCCCCCCCCCCCAGCAAAGGTAGCTTCCATTGTCATGGCATTCTGGAAGCTTGAGGGTTCTTTAGAAGGATTTTGGGCTTGAACGCTGTAGAACATTTTCATTGTTTATTTATTTTTATTGTATTTTACTGTTGCATTGGCTTCATCTCATGCTCCTAATGCACTGCTTAAGTCAGTTGACTGAAGTAGTCTTTACGTTTGTAAAGAAATAAAAAATTTGCTCCTGGTTTAAGTAATTTTTGATGGCCTGAAAGTAAAAAAACAACAACCAACAACAATATGTAAAAGGGAAGGAAAAGAAAAGCCGAGAGTAAAGATTTTATTTTAGTTCCAGCAGCAGTTGAAGAAATATGGCGGATGTGTGAAGTGCACATGCGATGTGAAAAAAAAATGTGGGAAGGTGGTGAGAAAAACCACAAATTCTTGACTTTTGATTTTGTCAGGCTCAGTACCTGTTCATTATTATTATTTTTTTGCCTCTTTAGGTAATACTACTTGTGCTGCAGGAAACTTCCAGTGCCCAAACACCTACCTGTGTGTCCCACAACGCTGGCTATGTGATGGAGATAGAGATTGTCCTGATGGGGCTGATGAAACTGTGGCTGCTGGATGCTGTGAGTTATTGCTTCTTCTTAATGTTCTGTATTTGATTACAGTCTCCTGCTGGAGGTTTGATGAGCTCTTGCTGTTATTCATGTTGCTGGTTACCTTAAGAGGCAAGCTAAGCTTCTGTTGCTTTTCATCTTTATAAACAAGACCTTGCCTATATAGTTTGGTATACAGTTCCCACTGTGTCCAGGAAAAGGACTAAGTGGTAAAGGCTGTCTATTATAGAGGAAGGAAAACAAAAATGATAAGTACCAAATCCCTCTTTATAAGACATCAGCCAAAGTTGGGTACCTCATCCATTTCTGATGACTTGGATCAGAAGCTTTTGTGAGGTTCTATTTGTGAAAGAGGCTGGTTTTCCTATTGTGTTTTGGGAAAGTTCAGGATAAAATAATAACATACTGACTACAAAATCAACTTGACTTCCTTTATCAGTTTTATACATTTCACATAGCCATTACCAGATAAATCAGGGCCTAATCCCGTGATGGTGAACCTATCATGTGTCACCAGATGCTCTTCTGGTTTCCAGCGCGCACATATGCACCAGCCAGCTGGTCTTCACGGGCACTGGAGTGCCAGAAAATGGTCAAAAACAGGCCATTTTCCAGGCCATTTTCAGGCCATTTTTGGCCATTTGGGGGCCAAAAAACGGCCATTAAAACGGCTTGAAAAACGGTCTGAAAATAGCCTGAAAAACGCCTGAAAAACGCCCAAAAAACAGGCATGCATGCGCTGGCCAGCTTGTATTTGGGTTTGCGGCATTATAGCATGTGCCTATGCTCACATATGCACATGTGTGCCGGTTTGAGCACTCAGTGCCGAAAAGGTTTGCCATCACTGGCCTAATGTGTTGAGCTAATTAGATGCCCTATTTCTATAGTGTCATAAGAAGCAAAAAGAAAATGATGCAGTTATTTATATTCAGCTGTATAAATCTCAATCTTGCTTTGATCATGTTCTTAGTAATTCCATGTAGTGACAGGATTTTGGTGCATCTTATTCTGTTTCAGCACTTTCATTGTATCATGGATGAGATCTATCATTTGCACCATCCCAGAGAGAGTGAAATTGAAATGTTCTTCTTTCTTCAGAAGGGGCAGACACCCACCAGTGCCTCTAGTGGTGGTGGTGGGTAAATCATCTCCAAAAGCCAGGGGGAACAATTTTCATCATTTCTTTCTAGGAGATGAAATGCTGTCTAGAAGCAAAATGGTTGCAGGATCCAATCTGGGTCAGTCACTGGGACCAGAAGTTCTGTCTTCCAAGCTTTCGGACTCATGCTGGAGCCCATCTTCAGGGAACATTTCTCTAGCAGAATGTGCACTGTTTTGTGTATGGTATTTATAGTGCCTGTTGTTAAGTGGCTTTTTAGATATTGATTGGGATATGTTGACTTTATCGCTTTCAAGTCATTAGCTTTCCTGATGCCCAGCTCTTGCCTTTTAAGTACTTGATAGGCTGGTGGTAAGAAGTGCTGATTTACCACCAGCCTATCAAGTACTTAAAAGGCAAGGTCTGGACAGAAGGGGAATGGACAACTAATGACTTAAAAGCCAACCATTAACACATCCAAATCAACATCTAAAAAGCCACACAACAGGCACCACATAAATACCACACATAGAACAGCACACGCTCTGCTAGAGAGAAGTCTTTTAATTTCTTGGCTGCAGTCCCCATCTGCAGTGATCTTGGAGCCCAGGAAAATAAAATCTGTCACTACCTC